GAATTATGTGAATTTAAAAGATTATTTTTATGAACATTACTTTTAAAATGATTAGCTAAATACCGTTTCTTGATAAATATATGGCACGTTGGACATTCCACTTGATCATCGTTACTGATACTGTTCCCTGCAGAGGTATGCGCTTCTGCTTCCGTTGTTGGTTTTTTGATGATCTTGGATTCTTTGCTGCACGTTCGCTTCGTTCCTCTTCCAAGTTGTAGTGGTTGACTGCTAAAATGTTTAAATTTATTAAAAACTGTATAAGACAATATGTAAATTATAATCGAAATGAATATTTATTTTACATACTTAAACTGTGTTTCAACCATCGCACAGTGATGATACAACTCATCATCGTATGACGAATCGAACAGTTGACCCCTCTCCATTTCTTCACAAACTTTAGACAACTCCTGATTTAATTCGCTATTGAATAGTTCCGTATTCTCTTCCATGATTGTGGAGAAAAAAGCACTGGTGCACACTTCACTGAAGTTTTCCCTTCCTCTTTTTTATTTTTGATTCAGCTTCAAAAAAATGATCAATCGATTGCGATTTTCTTTTTCCACCATCGCATGTGTTATTATTAATGACGAGGTTATCACTCTCTTCTTGAGGGGAGAGTGGCGAGTAGTAATACTGTTTATAGGTATCTTCATCGAAGCTCAATGGTTTCTGCAACAACACAGTTATCATGTTAATATCAATTTGTTAACACTTAATCATAAAAGTTAAAAAAGTTAAAGTTACAGCCTATTAAAGTCCACTGCTGAACATAGGCCTCCTCTCATTTCTGAGAGGGTTTTAGAGCAAGGAAATGTCCGCCGCGCTCCCTCAATGTGTGTTGGCGAACTTCACATGCCTTCGAAATTTTCTCAGACATGCAGGTTTCCTCACGATGTTTTCCTTCACCACCAAGCACGTGGTAATAAGCACTTAAAATTGCTATTAACAATTTAATTGGTGCTGGCGGGGATCGAACCCGGGTCGCGTACTGTGAAATTTACAGCTAGCGCTAACCATCTGAGTTACCACGGCTTAATCATATACATACACAATATTTAAATAAAATAATACACACACATGAAAATAACAGAAAAAAAAGTAATTTAGTCAATAGAATAAACACTTACATCCATAGCCTTTGGTGTATTGAAGTAACACAAATGTACTATTGATAGATCCACTGTAGCCAAACGACCGTAAACTAACTCGACGACTGCGTTTGTTGGTCTTATATACCACCAGTACGTAAAAATTCTAATCTAAAGTATTTCCGTAATGAGTTGATAATTACTTTATGCGTCAACCAGTTTATCTCACATTTCCGTTGCCTATCTCAACATTTCTTCGTATTGTGTTTTGTTTGGTGATCAATGACTCAAGTACGATTTGTATAACACAAAAATGCAATTTAATATTTAGAAACATATCAGTTTATCTCACATTTCCGTTGCCTATCTCAACATTTCTTCGTATTATGTTTTGTTTGGTGATAAATGACTCAAGTACGATTTGTATAACACAAAAATGCAATTTAATATGTAGAAATCACTATAATTGACCATTCCTATGTTATTCATTGAGTAGCTAGGTACTGTAATAATCTACTAATAGCAGTAATATCATGGATACACTAGATGTACAACAACATCTGAAAAAGATTCACCCCAGTCTAGAAAATAATGTTTATGCAGCTAATAGACTGCCTATGTATACCCACGTACCAACGTATATAATATGTAATTTGGATACAGATGATAAACCAGGGTCACATTGGGTAGCTTTATATATCGATACGAATGACGTCGGTCAATATTTTGATTCATATGGACGATCACCTGTACGATATCATCTAGAGTTTTTAAAAAGGAATTGTAAAAGATGGAACTGGAATGTTGATAGGATTCAGAATGAGTGGACTTCAGTTTGTGGCGAATATTGCTTAATGTATTTACTATATAAGTTTCAAGGATGTTCAATACATAGTTTTACGAGTATATTTACAAGGAACACATTGTACAACGATATTTTAGTGGATGAGATGTTTCGCTCCTATTTTATAGATAATAATTAATAAGATTTTGTATTTTATAAATAAAAATTGTAACAAAATTATGTAATGTGTTTTATTGATGATTCAGATTAGCGTTGTATAAACAAAGAACTATAACACAATAGCACTGATATAGTCGACGCACACGCTGCAATGAAGGTGATTAATGAACAATAGAACAATAGAAATAGGAACAATGGGACGCTAATGACGGTGGAGGCCCTTACCGGATATCAATTAGATATTAGGTAATTGATCTACACATCTCCGGAACCGTGCATTCTACACAAAAATGGACCGCGGATTCGTGATCAGAGCATGCCAAAACCTTTTTTTTTTTTTTTTTTTTTAGGATCGGGCGTCGACGAACGTCGTTGAACCACGTCTGACTCAGGTGGTCTAGAAGTGGTACAACTACACTACTCTGGTTTGGCATTCATAAAGGTGTCAGACAGGGATGTGTGGCTTCCCCGTGGCTGTTTAACTTATTTATGGACAGTTGTTTGCAAACTTTGAAAGTTGAAGAATGTGGGTTGAGAATGGGTGAGTCAACCGTCAAATGCCTTTTGTACGCCGATGATCAAGTCATATTTGCATCGTCGGCGGCCGAGTTGCAAATGATGGTTACTTTAATGAATTGGTCATTGAAAGAAAGGGGTATGAAAGTGAACGCAAGTAAGACGAAAGTGATGGTTTTTGAAAGAGAAGAAAGTAAAACTTTATGTGAAATAAGAATAGAAGGGGAGTTGATTGAGCAAGTGGATGAGTTTGTATATTTGGGATGTTTATTTAGCAGGGATGGTAGATATGATAAGGATATAGAACGACGAGTGAACGCAGGAAATAGAGTGAATGGGGCTCTACACGCTATTATGAGGAGTCAGAATGTGTCAACTAAGGCACGTATGGCAATTCATAATGCTGTGTTAGTCCCTACTTTAATGTATGGTAGTGAAAGTTGGGTCTGGCAGAAGAAGCATGAGAGTAGAATAAATGCTGTAGAAATGCGTTCCTTAAGGAGTATGCTAGGGCTGAATTTGAATGACGGGGTGAGAAATAGTGTGATAAGAGAAAAGTGTGGTTTGCAAGATGACGTTGTGACAAGGATTAAGAAAGGAATGCTTCGGTGGTTTGGTCATGTAGAAAGAATGAACGAGGAAAGAGTGACAAAGCAAATTTATGTTGCGGAAGTGAACGGCAGGGTCGGGAAGGGACGCCCTAGACGAAGGTTTATCGACCAAATCGGCGATACATTAAAAATGGGCCAGATTAGGAGTACCCATAACCGACGGGCGTGTATGCGTAGATATATGGATGTAAAAGAGGCGAGAGAGGTGTGTCAGGATCGCGCCAAATGGAAGTCCGTAGTCTCTGCCTACCCCTCTGGGTGACAGGCGTGAGTGTTTATGTTATGTTATGTTATGTTTTATTTTTGTACGAAATCAGCTACTGTATGCTTTTCAGGAATTACGTCACTTTTAGTGGAGGAACTCTTGAAAATTTTTGCCAAATTAAATTAAAAATATCATTACAAATCCTACTGTTTGCCATAAATAGCAGAAATATTTAATAATTACGTTTTTTATAACACTACATTGCAGTGATATACTTTTTAAGAAATTTTGTACAGGAACCGAAGGAACCGAAAGAACCGGGTTTTAAATTTTCGGAACCGGTTCTTTTCGTGACCCCTGAAAACCGGGAATACCCAGTTCTTTTGGAACCGGGAACAACCGGTCCCGATGCCCTAGTTCTAATGCTTATAAAGATAATGTATTATAAAAAAGGAAAACATAGGGACATAGAAAAGGTTGATATTTATTTTACTGTAAAAACTCCACCCGCATTTCCTCTTAAGATCCAGTGAGCATAGTTCTTACTTCAGATGTAGACGAAGTGCGTTTTTTTGCACACAGCTACTGCAATGAACTGAGAAATATCAGAATGGAAAACGGTAAATACCTACCTATAGCTATTTTAAAGTTACAGCTTTAGGGACACTTCTATCATCATCACTAAAATCACATTTAAACGATTTATTGATTTTTTTTCTTTTGATGTGAAAACTTCTTTAGAATCGTTGTGATTTGTAATTCGATAAAACGAAAAAGCGACACTGAAAGGAAACAAACATATACATCTATAGGATTTAGCCTGCGTGAGAATGAGATAGAATATTACACTAAATTAGTCGTGTTTGCGCCACCTAGCGTACTATTTTTTACGTACCACCTTCAGAGTCAATTTTTGTTCGATAAAATGACTTTACCTATATAATTAATTAGATGGCGCTATTACAAAGCAATTTTATTCGAAAGAAAATATTCTTTTGATTTATTTGACTAAAGTTTAGGTCCTACGTATCTATAAATAAGGATTGTAACATTTATTTGCTATAAAATCAAACTTTTATCTTATATTTTATGCCACACTTGTGGTGGACAATTATCAAATATTTATTTATATTTATATATATATATATATATATATATATATATATATATATATATATATATATATATATATATTGTGATATATTTTTATTTTAGACATATTTCACTTAATATAAAGGTTTCACTTCTACCGCGTGTGAACTGCACAAATGTTTTTTATTAAATTAACACAGTTAAAAGCACTATAAAATATAATTCAGATATAATCCTATTTTCGTTCAAATTACATAAACTGTGATGTGTGGTTGCAGGTCGATTCTTAATGAGAAAAAAAATCTCTCTATTTGTCTCTCTTACTATGTCCATGAGTGTATTTAAACGGTGGTTTCAATTACATACTTACTTACATATTTTATTGTATTATTATTGTTAAACTTAACTGACTTAAAAGTTCACACCGTAATCTTAAAATAAATATTATAACGATGTTTGTATTTGTGTTTTGTGTTTGTATATATAATGTATTACACTTATTTGTTATCGGCAACCAGTTCTGCCAACGAGCCCCGGGCCATCACGTAAGTTTCACACATCGCTTTGTAGATCATAGCTCTTCACTTTTCATTTCAAATAATATGTTCAATATATATTAATTAAAATTTACCAACAATATCGATAACATAATCACCTAAGCTACGAAGTCACTGGGTTTTGTATTGAAGAATTCCAGAGAGTTCAGGCAGCCCTCTACCATAATCAAACTTTTAGTAATCTGGTTAAAATTTACCTAGAATACTGCAGTCAAATTTGGAATCCGCACTACAAAATTTATAGCATTAAAATTGAAAGAATACAAAAACGACGGCTGTACCGTTCGATTGGCTATCAAACTAATGATTCCTACGAAAGACAGTTTGTACAGTTTATCATCACATCACTACAATCGCGTAGAAGTATCTCAGACATGGTGCTCCTACACAAAACGGTCAATAATAGTATTTATTGTCTAGCAATAGTTCAATTATTTAACTTTAAGGTGCCATCAAGACTGTCTAGAAAACCGCACGCCTTTTTCAATGTATCCCTTTACATCTAACTTTGGAAAGTATTCCCCTCTAGTCAGACTGGCTCGCACTTATAACAAACTGTCCTCGAAGATTTCTGGGCTCGACATTACTTGCGATAGTTTATCCACCTTCAAATCAAAATTAATCAATTTCTTTAAAGTAATTTATAAATTAATGATTACTTATAACATTGGAATTGTTTTTTTTTTCTATAATGTGATTAATATAATATAATAATATGATAATCAAGCTTTCTATAATATTGTTAAATAATTCTGTTTCGTTTCAATAATTTATACTTATCCAATGATCTAATTCAGTTTTTTTTGTTATAATTCTTTTATTTACTAAATAATCAACGCATGTTGTGATTATCCATAAAAACAAATACAATTATAATGTGTTTAATTTGTTATGAAAATGATCTTTGTATTACTGTTGCAATTTCTGTTGGTAATCCTAATAAATAAATAAAGCTAAATAAATAAAATAAATAAATAAATACTGCTAATTGAATGCCAAACACTTAGGTATTTGTCGGATTTGTCGTTTGGACAAATTACCCATTTTTAAACGTAGTGATTATATTCTCTTTGGTCATTTTGTTGACGATTTTTTTATTAAGATTTTGGCTTAAATGCTTGTCTTTTAAACTATGTGTTTCTCAGTATCAAGTGATAATAATCCTTTATAGTACACTGCTTCACAATATGTTGATGCATCACATTTCGTAGCCTTTAGGAGATTTTAATGGCAATTTGCGCCAGCAGACAGTTGGCGATACATCACCATCGGACCACTTGTTTCACCGTTTCCACTAATATTTCACATGCGAAGACATTAAATAGACAAAATCGCACCACTTTTACATATCAAAATCCACTTCAAACCATTATTTAAACAATAATGCAGGAGTAACAATCCGCCGCCGGTCAAGTTACCACAAAAACTATTTTGTTGACCTTCAAACTAAAAATTATTTAGCACTGACCTCTGTATATACAATGTATTTAGTCACTACGTGTTCTCTTAAATATTTTTTTCGGTTATTCTGTAAAATTTCCGATGAATCTTTTTTCTAATTTTATTTTTTTGCCTTGAGTTGTAATATGTACTACGTATAATGTACTACGTACGTAGTACATTATAACTTAATGTTTTTTTTTGTTTGTTTGTCGTCATTTTGCGAGGGTTAGAGTTCTAAATATAGTTCTTTTTTTGTGTTTTAGGTTTTATGTATTGAATAAAATTATTTTTAAGGATTGTATCGCTTTTAGTTTTACTTATTTTGAATTCTCGACGTTTTGGGTTCTTTGCAGCATCCAAGGTTACGTATTCTGCGTAGATCTGACCAAAATTAATAATTATAAAACTGAAGGTAAAAGAATTAAGCGGCATAAAATCCGTAAAAATAGTTTTATTTTAGTAAATTTTAGAAATCATTATGAAAATTTATCGTTAAATGTCGAAGCCTAATTAATGCGTGACCGTAAATGTAAACGATATAATTTATGTTATGGTTCGTGCTGGTACTGTGTTGTATTTCTTAGATATTCAATAAAACTGCATTAATAGTGACGAACTAATAACATGTTATTGCGCAGCAACAGCTTAAAGTACTCTTTTTACAAATTGCGCATTTGCAGTAATGTTATACCAATAACGTTATGCCCAAGCACTAATAGACAGTTTGTGTTTTTGCAGCTTGGCGTAGCTTTCGACAGACTGCCATTCGTTATCTAACTCATTCCTTCTCTTACTTACCAACATATTTCGGTTGCTGCATTAACCAAACCTCTCTTACCTTTTCCTCACGTAATCTTCAAGTTCGAATTTGTGGCTACAGGTGTCCGATGCCACCAACTTCTGTGCAGGCCATTTTTTTTTATTCGCCATAATACCAAGTATTCAATACCTTATTCAATTGAGAATCCCTTTTTTGTCCGATCCATTATGCGAAAAGGGGTAGCAGATTATTTCGCTGCTACCACAAGGCTGCGAGCTGCTATATGTTTGTTCGGGTTTGTTGCTCGTTTAGCACCACTCTGGACCACGTGTACAGTGAACCTAATTTTAGGTGATGAAAGAGAAGAAATTTTATATTCATATATTATGACAAGTGCTACTGCAACGCAGACATCTCAGGAAACTTGATGCACAATCGTTTGTTGTGATGCAGTCATATTACTTATGAAAATAATATGTTAAAAAAATAAAAGAGCTTCTAATGTCTGCAATATTTAATATTGTTTTATATTTTAGAACCTATTATTAAGTTTCGCACAAAATATAGGTAGGCTCTTGTCTTATCTGGAATGTCATTTTGACAGTCACGTTTGATCGTTTATCTCATTTTCTATGGTGATCATAAACATACATCCGCGGCCTCACCAGCGTAGGCTGCCCCATGGCTGCCCCTACTCAGAAGACAGGACATTTGCTCCGCCTTCTCCGTCTCAGGTAAGGCGTACCAGAACACAAGGTGCGCCTTCCTCTGCGGCATTCAACTCCACCTGCAAAACTGCGCATCGCCATACCAACACTCCTTTTCTCCCATGATTTCAGCTCGGCTACAGTGGTAGGGGGATCCCAAAAAACCTGTACAGTAAAGTACACATCCAAAGTGGGTTCGTCAGACCCACTCGAAGTTGCTACCTCATGTTACTCGAAGTTGACTATGAGTTCCTCTTAGTTCACCGTGACCGTAACTGACTTATCTTACACAATAATCAGCTGGTTGTCAAGTTCCCGCCATTCTTATTTTTACGATTTGTGAATGAAGGCAGACAAAGATCTTAGGCCGTACAGCTTAGTCTGACGTGTATTTTTGTTCACAATATACTGTACAATATTCTGACATGCCACATTGTAAAGCTTTTAGGAGATTTCAATGACAGCTTAACTCAGCGGATAGTTGATTATATAATCTCAAGACGCATAAGCAGTTAAAAAGCTTGAGATTTATGTCGCTGTTGAAGCATGGCTATGTCGTTTCGTCTAATAGTTTAGGTACATACACAGACTTTTAAGACACAAATCGCAACACTTTTCTGTTTATATCTCTGATTCAAAGCATTATTTAAGCAATAATACATCCACTATCAAAATCCACTTCGAGCCATTATTTAAACAATAATACAGGAGCAGCAATGCACCGGCCATCAAATTCCCGCCAAAACTTTTTGTCGTCACTCTCATCGTATTAGAAATCATAAGCTTTATAATTTATTTAAAGGCAAATTTATATCTGTGTCTTTCGATATAAACTTAGGTTATTTTGTCGGCTTAGATGCCTTAAGTACCTATTTGAGATACTGTCGTCATCGATTGTCTGCTGGCTAAAGCTTTCGTCAAAAATTGAAATCTCCCACAATGCCAGAATGTTATGCATCACCATATTACGTCCAAGTTATAGAACAAATCATTATTTTTATTTATTTATAAATAATAAGGATGACAAACAAGCACACCGTCCATCTGTTGGGAAGTTGATGCTGTGGTCGTTACACATCATCATCTATCATTAAGAACCAAAGTGTAGATGTGTTACTAGTAGCCTTAGGACTAGAAGTCCTAAGGGGTGACAAAACATCTGTACTTTTGGAATCATGGAATGCCTCGTTTCCAGTAAAAAGCGTCTCAAATTCTCTACACTCATCATACGAAACACAGCAGCATTAAGCTGCTATTTCACGTTGGTATTCTGTGAGAGCGTTGTCCTTACCCAGTTAGGCCGACCCAGTCATGCTAAAACCATATTATAGCTGCAGCGTGGCTCTACTCTTTACCACGTAAGTGTATAGGATAATATGCCACAAACTAGTAAGAAGTGCTAGATAATATGCTAATTATTTGACACTGGCAAAATTACAAGTAAACGAGTCCATTACCAAAGAAAAAAGTTAACTAAACTGACATTTGATCAAAACCAAAACAAACTGATAGTGATAAGCGCTGATATCTGATAAAGTTGGAGAAATAAAAACAATGTAAATAACTAGATTGCTACATATTTATTAATATGTGAAAAGAACTACTACTAATTTATTATTATTTACTATAGTATAGAGCTTTTCAAACAGCTGTTTATAAATTTGGTTGCACAATTTTTTGTTTTAATTAAAAAAATTAAAAAAATATTGTATGTATTGCTTGCATGCAATGCTCCTTCAAAACTCCTTCAATACTTAATGCATTACACATAATATAGTCTAGCATATTTTAAATTGTATTGTAATTTTTAATTGTACTTTTATTTTTACGGCTATAACCTCAGGAGCTAAAAGAAGCTTGTAAGGTAAGAAGTATTCAGTAAATAATTACCTTTTAATTTGATTTTCATAGTTTGTTTGAAACATTGAAATATATTTTTTCACAATACTTACATATATACTATATTACTTCTATATAATATACATACATAATAAATGTAATAATGTATACTGATATTTACTTGGTAAATATCAGTGTTATATGAAGTGTATTGTTTATATATTATTACAGGTTAACACCTGTAATAATCATTCAAATATCTGTTGTGTATTAAGAAAACACACCAATAGTATTATGTTCATATTTAGTAGAAATAATATGGATGTATTTTGGCTCAGCTTTAGTAACGGAAACCTGATCATTGCACACTTTTGATATTTAATTTTTATATATATAATTATCATACAGTCCTATTCTGCACAGTGTAATGCCAAGAATGCTGACTGTCTTTCCTTACTGAAATCTCCAGTGGCGATGACTTGTCGGGAATGACTGATAGTCTCTACTCTGGCGCAAATATGTAGTCATCACTCAGAGACTCAAATTTGTGCAATTTACTTAGTTGGTACCTTGGCTCTAAATGAGTTACATCTGATATGAAAGGTCATCAAATTGTCAATGCATGTCTCTCTCTCTCTTTCAAGTGACCAAAAAAATTATTACAGTCATATTGGGTTCATATTTTTATGATAGAAGGGGGTTAGTAAAGATTTAAAAAATGCCAAATTATTAGTGTTGAAATTTATTCCTTTTGATAATTTTTTTTTATTTCTTCCTGGGGTTGCCTTTTCTAATGTGCTTGCTGTATTTAACATAAGCTGGTATTAATAATATCAGTTCAATAATTAAATATTGTAAATGCTTATATAAAATAAAATAAGTATTTTATTAAAATGTTGTAGATATGTTTTCAAATATAAAATTTTTAAGTAGCAAATAAAATTTTTTGTTTAGCATACTAATAATTTTGTCATTTGAATATTACAAAAACAACACAAAGAAATCAAGAACAATCGGATACGAAATTTATTACTCAAAAATAAAACAAATTCATTTTAATGATTTTTATTATAATTCGTAAGGCTACAGCCAAAATATGTCCCACAGGCACAATGACCTATTTTTTTTATAGGGTATGGTGATAAACGAGCACACAGTCCACATGATGTTAAGTGGTTGCTGCGGCCCGTAGACATCTACATCTATCCTCTATTACAAATCAAAATGCAGAAGTGTTGTCACCCGTGAGGACTAAGATGGAATGCCTCATTTCCAGTAAAAAGGGTCTCCGGTTCTCTACACTCACCATACGAAACACAGCAGCGTTAAGCTGTTATTTTACGCTGGTATTCTGTGAGAGCGTGGTCCTTCCCCAGTCGAGCCAACCCATTCGTGCTACAACTATACTACTAATATAGTTGCAGCATGGCTCTACCACGTTGAAAAACCTCTCAGAAAAGATATGACGCACAGGTATCATATATCATTTCTGAGAGAGCACATAGAGGTTACAGAGCATTTAGTGGGAGCATGTCATATATCAACACTTAAGATTGCAATTAACAATATCAGTGATGCTGGTTGGGATCAACCTGGGTTGCTTGCATACTGTGAAATAATAGTGCTTGTTTAGCCCCTGAACTACCATGGCTCTTCGTATGTACAGATCAATTATAAGTAATTTATACTTTCATACTTTCATATGCTTTTTCAGTCATTTGAAAAAGTACTGGTGCAAAATCTACGCTTTGGGCTCTCTATCAGTCTTACTGATGCAATAGAGTCAATCCCGAGATGGCGTCTTATACAGGCAGCACTACCTCATGTGATGCATTCTCTAGCTGCTTTGTTGAACAACAGGTTTCTTTAGAATTTTACTATAAAGTATTGCCAGATTTTGTCATTTTGGTTATAATCCTAATTCTCATTATTTTATGAAATATATCATTACCTTGAATGAAAGTAATTTTTTTTACAAATTTTATCATGTTTTATTAATTAATTTTATGTTTATTTATTTATTTATTTAATCTTTCATGCACAAAGTTGTACATATGGCGGACTTAATGCCATAGGGCATTCTCTCCCAGTCAACCATTCTTTATGTTCCCGGTGCTTCAAGTACTTTGCAACATCAATTATCACAAAGGGAACTGGGGTGTTCAACATCTCTATGTCATAGATAACCGGATACCTTCTGATTAAAATTTATATAGAAAATAATATAGAACTTAAAAATATTACATACAACATACATTTACAGTTAGAAATATTACATAATTTAGTAAGAACTTATAGTATCTTGAAGTCTTGCAGGAGTATGCTTGGGTTGGGATGTAATTTTATTAATTATAGAATATCAAGCAGATACACCTGGCAATATACTGTATTGAAATTAAGAAGTTTTTTTTATCGCAATAGCCTGGCAAGTCATCTTTGGTAAGAATCTGAGTTCTTTTGAGAGGATTTGTGATCTTTCAAATATGATGTATTGGAGGGGCAATCGAGTATGTGTTTACAGACTGCAGACTTCCCGGAGCGTCGAAGTCGTAGTTAACCATGACCCATGACATTGGGACGTCGAACAATTCATTCCCCCGTGACTATAGGTGCTACAAAGTACTCAAAAGTCCGAAATATAAAATAAATTAATTAAACGCGATAATATACGTAAAAAACTACTTTCTTTCAAGGTAGTCTTTGGTGTAAATATGACAAATAATATTTAAGCTGTTACAGTTTAATTCAATAAGCAACTTACCACAATGTATAAGTTTGGTCAATAATATTTTTTTTAGCTAATCTAAATTATTAATATAATTTTTTATTTTATTTACAGAATAAAAGACAACATGCAATCACTGGGAAATGTAGAGACGAAACTTCTTTACACTTTACACTGGATCCTCCTTGATGCTTCGGATGAGTGTGCGGATAATGATTATGAGAATGACAAATTCTGCTCCAATCCATTTTATTATTTGTTCTCAATACCTACTATGACTGTAAGTAATTTAAAAACTCTAGGTAAACTGTTAAATGCTTTTAGAGCAATATTTGTTCACACCATATAGTAGCAATATAAGAGATTCCATCAGCCAATTCCATTTCATAGATGTCATAAGAGAAGACCACGGGAAATTCCAGAAAAAACTTACGGCATCTCATGGTAATACCCTTTCAAATCCTTTCTACAACTAAAGATTCTCACACCTAGTTATGGACTTTTGAAGGCTGATGAAGCATGAAGTATATTTGTTGACTTTTTAATTGGTGTTTTAAAGCGGTTATTTCATTTATCCTCCCTAAAACAGACACCCTGGTGGACCGTTAGTTCATTTATCACCCTAATATTTTCGATTGTTGCTGTTATTAAAGTGTTGAGAGTCTCTAGATTATAACAATTCTTTTTCCTATTTTTATAAGAGTGTAAATTCACTTTCTAGAATTCAGTGAAATAAAAACATTAATTATTCTTTTTTATAAGAGAGGGAGCAAACGAGCATGCTGCTCACCTGATGGTAAGTAACTACTGTCGTCCATGAACACCACAACACCAGAGGAATAGCAGATGTGTTGCCGGCCTTTTAAAAAGGAGTAGTGTTTAGAATGCGCCACTACTTACTGCGAAAGTCCAGAAAAATATATCAGTATTGATATCAGTATAAATAATTACTATTGGTGTACATTATTATCCTATATCTTATTTAATTTTAGCTCTTTGTATTCCTCTTTGCGCCAATATCACATCATTTAAAAGAATCTGATTTCACAAACAATTATCGGTTGGAAAATGGTTTGAAGATGTGGCAAGCATTGTGGGAATTCCGGCATCCTGATGCAGCATGTTTTACTACTTTGGTAAAGCCTAAGCCGAGGCCTCTTGGAGGAAAATTTTCTAAGAGGTCTCAACATGGAGACGTTTTCTTAGGCCGTAAGTTGTACGCAAATTATACTTTTGTAAAGTTCCAATTATTACTTAAAGTATTTGTTATTTGTTATCTGGTGTGATTCATATGAAAATTACAAAGCTTTATTTCATATTTAGGTAAATTTTCTAAAGAAGAAGGCCCAGTTAATGGAAGTCCACCAAGTCAAAATGTGTCAGTGTCTCAGTCTGACATACCTTCAAAACAAGCCAGCACAGAGGAAGAGCCGTGGCTGTCTTCACCTAAAGATACAATATTTCCGGAAACAATTCCAGAAGAGAGCTCTAGTACTGAAGAAGAACAAGTTGTAAGATTTCAATATTTTTTTATAATTCTAGAGTGACAAAGTAACAACAGTCTACCTGATGGTGACTGCTGCACAAAAAAAGTATTAATAAATGCACAGGTTAATTTTTTTTATAAATGTATTGTTACGGTAGATTTGTGACTTTTAATAAAGTCGCCTAAGTGACTTAATATAATAATACAGGGTTAAATGATTGTCCGCCCCATGAACCGACTGATTTAGAGTCATCTAGCTTTACCATATATACATAATATGAAAAGTTAAAGTTACAGCCTATATACGTCCCAGCAAAGGCACAGGCCTCCTCTCATTTCTGAGGAGGTTTTAGGGCAAGAGAATATCCGCCGTGCTGCCCCGATGCACGTTGGCGAACTTCACATGTCTTCGAAATATTTTTTTTTCTTAGACATGCAGGTTTCCTCACGATGTTTTCCTTTACCGCCGAGCACGTAGTAAATAATATATTCAATTAATTTAACATAATATGTAATATAAACGACATCTATAGCAAATCCATTGTGAGCCAGCGTTATGAACATGTAAACGAAATTATCTTACTGGAATGTTGATACTGGAAATAGTATAAAAATAAAAATGTAGGATTACTGTCAGGAATAATCCTGATACGAATTTTACAACATTAAAGTAGTAGAGAGATTATACAAAATAGCTCTAATTAGATTTTATATAGACTGATAGAGACACGTGAGTCACGTTCTTAACATTTTCACAAGAAACCTTTTTAATGTATGCACGAAAACTAATCCGATAGGACTAAGACTAGAATAAGTTATATATCCATAGATCCTTTAATACTGTCTACATATGTGTTATTGAAAAGTTAATTTTGCATTTCAGTTTATATATCGTCTACCCTCAGAACAAAATTACAGTGGGCCTTATAAGGAAGTCTATACAGTTTATGCAGCAGACCCCAGTTTATTTCAAGTTAAAAAACCTGACAACATTAAACCAAACTTACCTGGAATAAAACCATTGCCCCAAATTACAAAAATGAGGTAATTATCGATTTCATTTTAAAATGCAACAATGTATGCTGGAAAATTATGTAATGTGTTACGAGGGCGGCACTGAAAATTTCGGGAATCAAGGAAGTGACACAACATTACTATTTAAAAATGTATTTATTGCTTTTCGAAGTATTCCCCGCGAAATTTGACACATTTTGCCATACGATGGAACCGATCATTGAAGCAACCATTCCATTCGGAAGTTGGGGTCTCCAAAATGGCCGTTTTGTAGGCGTCCACAGCTTCTTCAGGTGATGAAAATTTCTGTCCACGCAATTTATTCTTTATTTTAGGGAAAGTATAGAAATCATTAGGGCTTAGGTCAGGGCTGTACGGCGGATGGTCTAATAATTCTATGTTTTCTTGCTCTAAAAACTCTTTTGTTCTGTGTGCGGTGTGAGAACTCGCATTGTCGTGATGGAGGATGATGCGGCGGTTGCAGTTCTCTTTACGGAGTTCAGAAACGACCTGTGGCAAACAAATTCTAGCATACCATTCTGCATTAACCGTTCTTTGTCCCTCAAGAGGAATAGTCGTAACATGGCCGGTTTTGGAGACAAACGTGACCACCATTTTTTTTTGCAACACTGTGAACGAACAATTTTTGTTGGATTTAACTCATTTTCGAACACCCAAACTCGTGATTGGTTTTTTGTTTCGGGTTCGTACGCATATATCCAGGATTCGTCACCTGATACGATGTTGTATACAGCATTTGAGGATCCTGCGTGGAATCTTTCGAGAGTTCTGACGCACCAAGTAACGCGAGCCGCGTTTTGGTCTTCACAGCGAATGCGGTATCCATCGTGAAAACAACTTTTTTACACCTAATTGTTCATGCAAGATTATTTGTATTTGACTCATGCCAATGTCTAAAGTTGCCTGAATTTTACGATATGTCACATGTCGATCTACCTCAATCAGCTTACGCACAGCAACGTTTTCTTGGGTGACTGCAGTTTTTGGACGACCTTGACGGGGATCATTACTGAGCTTGACACGTCCACGTTGAAATTCAGCAAACCAGCGATAAATTGTGGTTTTGGATGGGGCTTCATCACCAAATGCAAAAATCATCCGGTCAACACACTGTGTTTGTGTTAAACCACTTCGAAAGTCATAATAAATCATCGCTCTTGAATTTTCTCTAGTCAATTCCATTTTCTCAACGACTAAACAAGTTTGACAAAACCTTGTGACAAGACCGAGAATCTTTTTTTTAAATCAATAAATGGTATCCGATTTTTAAAACCAAGAACTTTTCAATTAAAAAGATTTTAATATGACAGGAACAGTGGAAATATTCCATTCCCGATACATTTAGTGCAGTCTATGTATCAAAGTGAAGTCTTGTATTTATAAGAAATTTAGTCAAATTATGCTTTTAATAGAAAGTAACAGCCGATTTTTACGTTGGTATTCTGTGAGAGCGTGGTCCTTCCCCGGTCGAGCCAACCCGTTCATGCTACAACCATAATAAAGCTGCAGCATGGCTCAGCCACGGAATAAATATTCAGCGTTGTTACTCTGTAAAATACAATGCAAACATTTTGAGGTTCCCGGGTTATTATAATATTCTTTTTTCACAAACCCTAATAACGTGGCTCTACCTCGTATACATTTTTTCTAGTCGTATCGTATAGTATTTGTCTAGATATCCGTATGAGTAGGTAACAGTATCACTCTCTTATATTCTTCCGTTATAAAGAAGCAGTGCTGTGTTCTAGTTTAAAGACTATTCGGGGACAGTATCATTACAGACTTTTTTATTTTTAGACTTCTTAAGTTTGATAGGAGGAGGTTGCAATTACTGCACTTATCATAAAGTGAAATATTTATTAACTAACTATATATTAAAATTGTAGCCGGTGGATGGAAAAGGGGAGATCTCCCGCCGGGCAAGGTGTTCTGCCCGGGGAGCCGTCAACGCTCCTATTTGTAGTTCGTAGCTATTCTATATATGTTGCTTTAACTTCGGAACTTTGTTAGTGCGATTTAGGCTTTGATGTATTTCGCTTGTGGCGCGACGACAGCGCCGCCACATCACCCCCTTGCTCAGATCGGAGGTCGATAGTGCAGTCCGATTGCCGGTGCGTCCTTAATGCCGGTGGGGAATGCATGCTGTGTGAGTAAGGGCACGCCGGTGCGAACGATATGCCGGTGTGTAATGGATGCCATACTACGCACTTACAAGTGATGCCGGTGAGAACGATGAACCGGAGCAAGTGCCAGAGATTGCCTTGTAGTCTGCGGTGAGTCGAGAAGAAGGCAAGTAATCTGCGAGAGTGCCGTAAAGCAGAGGCGAGCAGTAAGGCTCAGAGCCGTGCCGAACACTGTAGCGCAGAGAGAAGCTTGAAGGAACAGAAAGCATTATTATTCCAGTGCTGCGATGAACCTTTGTAAAGCTAGATGGCTTGCAGAATGTGAAGACTGCAGACAATATCTGCTCGGGAGCGAATGAATGGGGTACTTGAGCATGATGAAGGTTTGAAGGTGTAGTTTCCGAAGGTTGTTAGGTGCGTGTTCATATCACGTCGGTTGGTCACCACTGTGGCGGGTGGAAGGAAAAGGGGAGATCTCCCGCCGGGCAAGGTGTTCTGCCCGGGGAGCGGCCAACGCTCCGAGTGGTAGTTCGGAGCTATTCTATATATGTTGCTTTAACTTCGGAACTTTGTTAGTGCGATTTAGGCTTCGATGTATTTCGCTTGTGGCGCGACGACAGCGCCGCTACAAAATTATAAAAGATAAACTATATAATAATTTAAACTTTATATATATATATATAATTTCTACTGCATATTCGACTATCACACAAATATATTATTGATAAACCGACAAAAGTGGATAATACGTGGTATACAAATTTCTACGTGGTAGAGCCATGCTGCAGCTATATTTCTGGTATAGTTGTAACACGAATGGGTCGGCTCAATCGGGGAAGGACCACGCTCTCACAGAATACCAGCGTAAAATAGCAGCTTAATGCTGCTGTGTTTCGTATGGTGAGTGTAGAGAACCGGAGACCCTTTTTACTGGAAACGAGGCATTCCATCTTAGTCCTCACGGGTGACAACGCATCTGCATTTTGATTCGTAATCGAGGATAAATGTAGATGTATGTCTATGGGCCACAGCAACCACTTACCATCAGGTGGACTGTGTGCTCGTTTGTCACCCTTATCCTATAAAAAAAATACATTTTAGTAATTTAAAGATATTTTTTGTTTACAGTTCATCAGACAAAGAGTCGCTATCGGATAGCGTAGGAGGTTGTCAAGGCATTAAGGAGACACTCACTTCCACTGAGAAAACACCTACGGGAAAACAAGACCATGTAAATATTTCAGCTAATAGTGATTTTTAATCACTTTTTTTTCTCTTTTTTATAATGGAGTTACATACTTAAATTCCACATGGACAAATACCCACATGCAACACAATTGTCTATAGAATACACAAATACTTGTTACTTGCATACAGATGTAATACCGGCCTTGTTCTTACGGAGTAACTTTGATGTTGCTCCATAAAATGTGATATTTATAATACGTTACAGTTATATATATATATATATATATATATATATATATATATATATATAACAGGCGTTAAAATTTGAAGTTTTCGTTTTCAAGTGGCCACTTTGAAATGAAATAAGTCGAAGTATCGTGATTTAATCTTTTTTTAAACAAAAAATTGTGATATTCCCTTTTTAGGGTTCCGTACCCAAAGGATAACCAACGGGACCCTATTTCAATCCGTATCCGTCCTATTTCAGTCATTCCAGTATTTCAATTGGAAGGTACTAGAACATTCTTGATTACATAACAACATGTCCAAAGGAGAAAAGGCTTTATATAGACATCAGGTTGCGTCTTCCTTGTGTCAATATTTTGAGCGTTATCCATTTTTATGCCTGCACATTTTATTTACTTGATAGATGCCATTGACCTATCTTGGGGAATGTTCTCTTAACGAGATGGAACACGCAACTGGCTGTCGAAACAATATTTTGAACAATTATAATTTCACAGGTATCAGCTGCAACTTTTCTAGATGTGGCCACTTTGAGATGTCTCTTTACTTCCCAATGGCAAGAGGAGGGTGTATATTGGGCTTTATATTATCTTTACAACAGGTGGGTTTATATAGATATATATGAAAGTCATCTTAAACGAGTCTCCTATCTATTCGGCTAATGGCTTACACCGATTTCAAAGTCAAGCAACATGTAAGTTTTGTAAGTTATAGGCCCCTTTCGGCCTGAACATCGTGCTGCAGGGTAAGTCCCACACTCTTAAACTATTTTTACCGCCAAATGCATGTTGCCCTGCACTACATTGTGCATGTACTTCTGTGTTGCGGTGAAATATAGAACCACTATAATTATAGCTATGAGGTAAACCATCTCAGTCCTCAGAGGTGACAACACGTCCGTAGCCTTCTTTATTTGAAGTTAGTTGCATGTATTTGTGTCTGGGCTGCAGTAGCCACTGACCATCAGGTGGATTGTAAGTTGGTACGTCGCTTGAATTTTATAAAAAAAAAAAGGTAGGTAACATGATTTGATAAATAATTGTGCCCGATCAATAGATCGAATGATGAAAATACTTAAACATTAAACCAGCAGTGAAATTTAAAATAAATAAATCATAAAATTAGCTGACAATAGGGTCAATATTATCTAGGAAGCCGAACTCTTATGTATCTAGCTCGGTGCGAAACAATGCCTACTGACTCTACCTTTCCCTTTCATACACGCACTACCGCCGCCCGGCCGGCTCGTGTCGCCTCGAGCATATATCGTGTATATCGTATTATTGTGTAATAACATAATAATACGATATATGAGGAAAGCCTACATCCAATAGTTCGCCTTTTATATACTGATAGTAGGCTATAAGTTTGACTAGATTAATGTTGTATGTTTTTATTTTTAAAACCTTTAAATTTTCCTTATAGATTACGTGACATCTGTGACGATATGTCTAAGCAGAGTCACCCAAGAAAAAGGAGCAATTCTTTACCCATTCCGAAAATAGAAGTATCAATCTACCAGAGTCCAGATATAAAGGAACACGATTCGTTAAAAAATTTCATGGAAGTCCCCGACTCTAAAGACATATCCCCTGTGACAGAAATATCGTTATCATCAGTAACAAAAATCGACGAAGAAAGCTTAATGACTAGAAGAGCAAGCGAAAAAGTGAAACGGAAAATGAAAATGGCAGACTTAAAAGCTTTTGTCGAAACTAAACTTCTTTCCAAATCCGAGAAAGCTTTAGAAAAAATCGGCCATGACGACCAAAAATTTAGTTTCCATACAGCAGTAAGAATGATATCTGTAGTTATTTTTCTTATTATTGGTTTTATATTTATGAAATTGTTAGTTTTTAAAAATCATACATTTCCGTGCAGGAATATCATAGAAGTCTAGACAACACTGACGACCGCCCCAATTCAGCTTTAGCTAGTCATTTTCCAGCTATAACGCCGCGACTCACAGGAGATTTACTTCCATGTAATCTCATTAAAGGGAAAAGTATGCCAAGTCTAAGGTGAGCACGTAATAAAGAGTTAACTTAAAGTTTAAAAATCTAAAAGTGTAATAAAATATAAAATTTTGTGGACTTAGTTTTAATAGTTTTAAAAATTATTTTAAGCATATGTATTTTTAATTTAAATACAAAACACAAATACCCAGAAACAACCAAAGACGTTAAAAATTTAAATCTTATTTTAGTAATGAAATATTTATGTTATAATGTATTACTTTAGTAATCAATTAAAAATGGTGAAATTTGTTAGCGATAGCGGTAATCTAAGATGGTATCAAGCGCCTATGTGTTTAAAATTTACTGAGTTACTACATTTTTTCTTGTGTGTGTTTTTCTCTATTTAAATAATATATTATTTTTCGATTTGGTGCACAGCATGATTTTAATTTCATACACATTTTCCATGACTTTCTACTCAAAAACATATTTTTCTCTTTCTCCCTTTTTTTACTGCTTAATCCCGTACACTAATATTATGGACGAAAATCGCGCTAGCTGTTTGATTGACGAGCTAGCGTCGAGTGGGTAAGTGTATAAGGAATGTTACAGCGAAAGTAGACGCTTCGTCACCTAGTTGTCAGATCTAGTCTACTATTAATGAATAAAATTGCGCCTTCTGTTTGTTTGCATCGATACAATTTGCTTCCAAGTAAATTTTAGTGACTACAAACTCTGTTCTCGTGTATACTAACAGCTTTAATATTTAATATATTTTATATGATGTATTATGCAACGTGGTTTGCACGCAGTTTAACAAAATACTATTTACAATAACAAACAGTAGTAATAACAGTAGGTAGACACGTAATTATAATATTAGTAACATAAGTAGTTGCAAAATGTTAATATGCACATAAGCAGCTCGGGTGTTAGCTTTGAGTAAAACAGGTAAAATGAAATAATTTGAGTTTTGAGCTACCACGGTTGAATATAGTGTGAAATGTATGGTAATGTGTGATATTGTTTTTGGCAAAGTGTGAATTTGGCTTACTAAAGCGACTGCTAATTGCTGATGACCATGTTATGTAATCGAGGGTCCTAGGCTTACGAAAATAATCAATTACATGCATTGATTTCTTTTTCTTTTCAATATTTTATTTTTTTTATTTTAGCGTTCGAATTGATAGTAACAATTCGTATTCGTGACCGTATACAATGTTACAAATGTACTTGCATGTACAAAAACTTGTAGGTAATATTTATATGTCTCCCAGCAATATAATTTGACTATGGAAACTTATAGTCTTATTGTCGTCATCAATCTTGTGTGACGGCACAATTATCAGAGCTAGAATATAAATCATTTGCGATTGACTTTCGTAAATTTTAGTTACGTATGATTCTAATGCATGATCACAGACACCTAGTTAATACGATATAAAAGTTCACTGGTAACTTTACACTATAGGCTTCGTGGTATCATAATTTTCACCGTTTCAGTAAATCGTTATTGCTTTACAATGGAAAATTCTTAAAGTATACATTTGTCATACATATATGTATCGAATGACCCATGTTAGTGTCTTATTACTTTAACATTTTCTAGAAATTACCAAGTAACTTCTTTTAGATATATCGGCGAAGTAAAGACCGAGCGCGCTTATGGTCAGACAACCACAACGCAACCGAACGTACATAAGAAAAAGAACCCAATCATAACCGTCACTGAACACACGCCTACTCCATCTCCTGATTATCTTTCTAAAACAAGACAAGTAAGGTTCTTATTATTTAGATTTTATATAATTATTATGAAAAAATTAAACAACCATCTGTTTTAGGGTTCAATGGAGTCGCAACTAGACTCTGTAAGTATGCAAGGCTCACAGCACATTCCGACTCCAGAACGCAAGCCCAGCTTAACGCGTTCACAGACTGATTCTAACATTACCTATATCGTAGAAGAGATTCAGGAAGCGCCCGGTTCTAAATATTACATCACTAAAGATGGGGATATTGATTTTCAAATTGTTTTAAAGGTAATATTTTATTTTTAGTAATTTGCAGAGATAAGTAGCAGGGTGGTATCTCCTAGAGCCTTAACTTCTAGGCACAATGAAGTCCTAACACCTAGTAAACGTGAAAGTAATTTTGTTAACTTTCAGATATATTCCGTAGTTAATTAATAGCATATGCATTATTTTAGGCAGTATACTCCGTATCTACTATGGATACTTTATATATAACAATCAGAGTAATGGAAGTCATGTTGAACCTGGTTGACACGCTAATGGAAATCGGAATTCACAAGAATTGGCAGACAGACAGTACGAAAGATATTCAACCAGAAACAGTTGATCCCTTAGCTGATTTCAATAAAGACAAAGACAGCAAAGTAAGTTTAAAATTTTACCAAGATATTATTTAGATATACCTTTTTGTTTCTTCTCTTGTGTTGACGTTACAATGTAAATTCCTCTCTATTTTTCATTTCCAGCAATATTATTTCAGATTAAAAAAGGTTTCAGCTACGATTTCCTGAGTAATACGTTTTTTTTTAAATGTGTTTCTTCCTTTTTATCAAACAAATAAATGAATGAGTGAAGCAGAGGCTTGTTATGACTAGACCTAAATATTTTGATATCGATACATATACTTAATATTTTCGAATTCAAGACTACAAATCTCCTTTAAATTACTTTAATATTTACTGATGTTAATTCTGATTAGGAAAGAGATTCCGGTATACCGTGCGCCCAAAGCCAAGAATCAACTAATGTTGAAGGAGGGGAGAGTAAAGATGGCTCAAAAGACGAAGAAAACTTAGATTGTCCATATTATATGATAATGCATATTATTCTTAGGTAAGCAGCTATTTACTTAATATTTCTTGTTGATAAATAAAACTACGGTCAGTAGACATGACAAGGATATAGAAGTAATACGAAGAGTCGGTCACGGAGTGAATGGGGTTCTGATTCTATTGTAAGTATGTATCAAAAAAGTCTAAGTAATTAACAACGCATTAATGATACCTAACTGTATGGTAGTGAAAGTTTGGATGAGGCAGACGAAGTTTGAGAGTAAAATAATGCTGCATAAATGCGGCCATTAAGAAGTGTGTTAGGGTTAGGGGTGACTTTTAACGATGGGATGAGAAATTGAGTAATATAAAAAGTGTGGTTTGCAAGATGTTGTGACCAGGATTATGGAAGATATGCTTCGGCGGTTTGGACACGTACAAATATTGAATGAGGAAAGCGTGAAAAAGCAAAATACGTGAAATAAATATATATATCTGCATATATGAATCGAATGCAGAGTCGACTAGAGACGCCATATATGGAAGTTTGTCTATAAATTGACGGTATATTCAAGATCGACCAAAATCAGAGTTACGTTATGTATGCGTACATATGTGGATGTGAAAGAGGCCAAAGAGGTGATTCGGGATTTTTTCTGCTTATCCCTCAGAGTGACAGACATGCGAATTTATGTTTATTTTTTGATAAAATTACTCGTTATTTGCAGAAAGTATATTACAAATAGACACAACACATAACTTTCATTTTACACTGATTAATAGTTAATTGAATTTATGTAAGTTTAAATTGGCTAGTTGTAATCATTCTATGTATTTTGTTTATAATAAAGCTTTCCAAATTGAAAGAGACATAGCATATCTGATAACTGTTACATTGTTATGTTCATTTTCTCAGTTAATTTTAACGAATTTTATACTTTACTAAAAGAAGGATGTGGGTGCTTATAAATTACCTTTACTGCAAAGCTGCAAAGCCCGGGAGAATATCATAAGAATAAGGATAAATTATTCTTATAATATTCTATTCAAGAACATAATCTGTAACGCACGCAGGTTTACTGGCTTTTGTTATTTGAAACTATTTTTTCTTCTTCAAATATAGGCCTCTTATAAGAAATTGAATAATTTGTTTATCTTAAAATTAAACAAATCGTTCGTTTTACTATATTACAATGCCAAACTGAACTGATATATCAAATAAAATATTATGGAATTCGATAACCATATAATTTATGCCAGACATAAAATACCGAGACCGATGACGTAAAGCACTCGTAAAGATGTTACACAATTTAAACGCTTCTTCACGTCGCGATATCAACAATTCGTCTGCCAAACGTATCGATTAAGACAATTCCTCTCTAGTGGCAGAAGCCCATTTTCAGCAGTGAAATTTTAGGCAATGATAAAAACACTTGTGATCGTGAGCAAAGAGAAGCACTTGAAAACTACTAACAAGAACCTTAATATCTCCAAACATATGAATGACAACTTAACAACATTAAAAATACTGTATGATGTCTATTGAGTAGGATAATAAATACTTAAGAATTCATTACATTTGTTAAGAATTTAAAAAATAATATGAAAATTAGGTCAGGTCTATGATTTATTTATTTATTTATTTATTTAAAATAAAAATATTTTTGTTTACACTCGATGTATTTTCCACAATCGTATCACGTCTAAAAGCCTTGTTAAAATAATGTACTTGATCTCGTAAAATTAATAAAAATGTTTTTCATAGGGTGCTCAGACAACTAGGTTGTTCTCACGGATGCACATCGGCATTTCGAGGCCCCCAAGCCGAATGCCTTAGGGTACAAGCTCGGAACTCACTCCGCCAACTGAGATCTGCATCTGTTACAAAATTCAATCTACGCATTAAAGAAATGACAAAATTTGCACCGATCAGAGAGGTGCTTGATAATCTCCACGCAACAATAGGCTTTTGTGCGGAACCTTCCAACATGGTATCGCCTATGAGTAAGTATAATAAATATTAGCCAAGTGGCCAAATTCGACCGTGCTTCATAAACATTTTAAGTTTGTATATTAAACAAGCTGTATTTCACTTTCAACTCTTAGTATATATGCTTTCACTACACATTAATATGTATATTAAATACAGATATCTAATATGTACAAAGTAATTTTTATGGATCACAATTTTATTTATATTAAGCAAGCTGTATTTTACTTTCAACTCTCAGTATATGCCTTCACTACACATTAATATGTATATTAAATACAGATATCTAATATGTACAAAGTAATTTTTATGGATCACAATTTTATTTATATTAAGCAAGCTGTATTTTACTTTCAACTCTCAGTATATGCCTTCACTACACATTAATATGTATATTAAATACAGATATCTGATATGTACAAAGTTATTTTTATTGATCAAAATTTTATGTATATTAAGCAAGCTGTATTTAATTTTTAGCTCTTAGTATATGTTTTCACTGCACATTTCGATATTAAACACTGATATCTTATATACACAAGGTATAAAATAAACGCTTTTTGGCCTTGACATACAATTTAAAAAGGAACATTTAAAATCACACAAAATTCACAGCTTATTTAGTCATTCTGTTAGTAATTATTCTTTGGCAACTTTTCAAAATTTCTGTTTTTTTAATAACCGGCTTTACGGCTCTGGGTTCTAGCCCTTCTGAGCCTGAAGTTACAATGTTTAATTATCCTTCATAGTACACTGCTTCACAATATGTTGATGCGTCACATTGTGCAGCCCTTGGGAGATTTTGACGACAACTTGAGCCAGCAGACAGCTGACTGTTGGCGATGGTATCTCAAGGCGCCTAAGCTGACACACACCTTATCTTGGGAATCACATCACCATCGGACCATCAGAGCACTTGTTTCACCATTTCCACTAATAGTTCACATGCGCAGTCATTTAATTCACAAAATCGCACCACTTTTACATATCAAAATCCACTTCAAACCATTATTTAAACAATAATACAGGAGTAGCAATCCGTCGCCGGTCAAGCTCCCTCCAAAACTTCTCAAAATTTCTGTGTGACTGCTAAACCACAGACTATTTTGTGTTTGACATTGACAATATAAAGGCAGTGTGAACGATGAATGTGAACAATGAATGATGAATTTACTTTATTTAATATATTTGTAACATATATTATATAATATGTATTTTAGCTGTATGCACTCCTAAGTATAAACTTTAACGATGCCAAATCTCCCACTCCGTGCGCGCATTATATCTTTTACTTTACATATTTATATTTCAAAAGCTATCACATATTATACATATAATGGTAAAGCTTACGGTTGCTGACGGGCAGCTGCGTTAAAGGTGCGTGATGTCTGATACTACGAGCGTCAATCCGAATGCTAATCGTGACGATTAAGACAAATGCTCGCTAAATCGGGTGAAGAGGGTCTCATGTCCAGCTGTGGACTTTTTTGAGCTGATGAAGAAGAAGACCTCCAATTTTGTTTTTTAAATAATGCAAATATCTGAAAAAAAAAGCTGTAACTTTAAAAGAATTCACAGGTTATCTGCACAGTGGAACTCACAACTTACACGTATCACAAAACACACTTAGTCGATTTCTTATTATAATTCTTTTCACTTCTTAGATCAGCAAAAGCGCAGCCACGCAAAATCCCCTGATATAAGCCACTTGCAGGCCGGCTATGCAACTAATTTTGGTGTTGGACAAGGGACAAATACAAACAGAGCGATCGAAAATTTCATCATTGAAGCCACGTTCAGAGTGCTAGTTACTAGGTTTACATTAATGCATAAGGAGCTGAAACTACTGGACAATTCTGTGAGTATTATGTTATGGTTAAGATAAGGCCAACAATACATATAGCATTTAAATACACTGGGCATAGTTGCGTTACGACTGAAAACCTCTCTCTTTCATTAAATTCGATAATATTATCTTACTAATTTAATACATAAACTATAAAACAAAAGTGATATTGAAAGCGGACTAGTCAGAAATCGTTTCACAATCTAATGGTGATGACCCATTCAAAGTAATTTTCAAAAGCTGAAATTACAATACCACAAACTAGTCCGTGCTGTTATAAGAAACTGAGACTACCGACAAAAATCAATGTCATTACTTGTATAATGTATTCACAATATCTGCACACCACTACAAGCATTCTTAAAGTCATCTTGCTAATATTACTATAAACTATTGTATGAAATAATATATTATACACATAAGAATTACACTCTTTTGTGCATGTGTTAAGTCTTATACAAAAGTTTTACCATATTATATATAATATTATAAGATTAATACGAATATTGATATTATTAATAACAACCATTTTAAATTCATCTTTTTAGGCTCTTTATATGGAAGTCCGCGTCCTACTAAGCTATGTAAAAGAAGCTCATGGTAGTGAATTCCGCCTGGTAGCCTTAAGTGCATTATTAGATACAGCTGAGAGACCAGATAGTCAACAAAAAGATGCTAATATGCAGACAACAAGAGTTATAAGGTAAAAATAAAGCAAACCGTTATGGTTTATCCCTATCTATCGGACGTAGGGTATCAATGATTTGCCCTGTTTTAATTAGGTCCATCGTAAGTTATATTGATACATTGATTTAGTTAATTATAATAAACTTGAAGTGTGAATTTCACATAATATCGATGTAAATTAGTGCCTCATTTGATAGTTAATTCTAGCTGTGGGCATTATCAGGCACGAATTGCGGAAACGTATAATATTTATTTTATTGTGATATTTCAATGTAATTTCAATCGTTTATATAAAATTATCTATTGATTTTTTTAAGAATAAATACTTTAAATGTAATTAAACGTAAGTAAATATTTGGAGTAGCGTATTAAAAAACAATTTTACATTATTTTATCAACATACATTTTAGAAGTTACAGAAACTATGATGAGGTTCACTTTCGTAAAGAATTTGTTTGACAATAGTAATGCAGTCGGCTTGTAAACGGCGTTTCTATAGAACCTTTGCCTAGGTTTACGAGTATCCTCTATAGTCTGAACAGCTCACCATGGAAAATCGCCTTGTTCGTCTATGAACTAAAAAATAAATGCACTACCTTTCACGATCCGTGTTTAACCTCTTACATATCTCAATACAAAAATAGGTGTATTTCAAGCTGCAACTGAAAATGTAAGGCATTACTGACATTTGTGCAAGCATGGCCGGTAAGTATAATAAGAAGAATAGGTAGCACAATTATATTATATCAACAAAATACGTAAGATATACAGGGTTATTTTTTAGAGTAGCCAAATGTTTAGCTTAAGTTAAAATATACAAATAACTAGCTGTTCCACGCGACTTCGCCCGCGTGTTATTTGGTGCTTTAATTTTTTTGCGCGGAACCCTAATTCTTTTTTAAAATAAAAGTAATCTAAGTTACTCCTTGTCACATCAGCTATCTGCCAGTGAAAATCCCGTCAAAATCGGTCCAACCGTTTCGGAGATTAGCCGGAACAAACAGACAGACAGACGGACAGACAGACAGACAGAAAAAACTTTAAAAATTGTATTATTGTTATTAGTACCGTATATACTTTCATATGCATTTAGAAAAAAGCTGTAATTTTGAGATTACAAACAAACACTTCAATTTTATTTATTTGTATATATGATATACCGTTATTGCAGTTTATAAAAATAGGAGTAAATAAGGCTTCAACTTTTATTTGAAATTATCCCAAATTGAATATGATTTATGGGCAACAACGTTTTTGCCTACTACTTACGTATGTGTGTAGTCTGTGAACCGGTGTAACGGTAGAAGGGCACGGGAAGACGGTAACAAGGTACTTTAGGCCGGCCACATACATACGGAATTCCGTTTCGATATTCCGATTCGGAATCCCGAACGCAGCAAGTCCATATTAAGGCCCGCCACATACATACGAAATTCCGTTTCGGAATTCCGAATGGGTCGGTCACATACACACGGAATCCCGTTTTGAATCCCGTTCCCGTGCAAAGTTTTGAACGGAAAGCTACCGTACGTGTGTGACGGGTCATATATTTTATATGGACTTGCTGCGTTTGGGATTCTGAATCGGAATATCGAAACGGAATCCCGAAACGTAATTCCGTATGTATGTGGCCGGCCTAAACCCGCCACACACGTACGGTATTTTTCCGTACCGAATTTCTCCGATTCGAGTTTCCGTATTACCGCCTGTGCGTTCGGAATCCCAAACGGAAAAAAACAGCTCCGAACGCAAGTCTTTCATAGATTTTGTACGAGTCGCAACACACATACGTAAATCCCGTACGGAACGCGCTCACATACACATAAATAAGTATGTTTTTACATTTAATCTTATAGGTGTATAGTTTTTCGTAACCTTTCATCTTATTTTATTTAATAATTCGTTGAAAGAATTTACAGACATCCATATTTAAAAAATATCTCGGGATAGAAAGATCTTTTTACATAATATTGACTATATTGCAAGCTTAGGGTGATAAGGGGATGCACCCAGTAAGAATAATACAGCAACAATGGAATCGCAATTAGAAAATCGTCGTAATTTTGGGCTGGCAGAACGTGTAGACTCAATGGCTAACGTCTCTTGACTGACCCTAGTTATTCCGAACAGAAAAAAAAATGTGTGTGTGATGTATTCACGGAATCCCGATTCGGGATTCCGAAACGGAATTCCGTATGTATGTGGCCGACCTTACTAAGCGTAAGGGTTTACGAATGCTTGCGTGCGAGATAAAATCAGTTAAAATAATGCATTACCACGCATATTTAATTTAAAAGACAAAAAGGACAGAATGTTTGAAATATTTTTTAATTAATTTTTCTTCACCATTTGCCTATATTACTTATTCTGAACCTCTGCAAATCTGGCCCGTTATTGCAAAATAACTCTGTATATTTAGAATTGATGTCCTATATATTATCACAGTTTATAGAGCTGTGATATTATGCTGCAGCAGAATGCAAAATGTTTATCTGCTGCAGCATATAATGCACTTGTAGTATAAGAACAAATAAGGTATGTCCCTAAAACTTCAAACTGGAATACCAAACAGGTAAATAGATAAAAGACTGGTTTAAAACAATTAAATTACACTGTCGTAATTATTTTTGTCGATAGTTGTTCCATTGCCAATCCATCAGTCCGTCGTGGTAATTTTGTCAAATTCTCCAAACCTGGGATATCATATCAATCAACTTCACGTCCAGTAGTGGACTATTTATAGATATAATATAATGAATATGAAGCTAAAAGTAGAAGATTCGTTATTATTGTAATTTTGTAGGCATATCCCAAGAACGCAAGAAGACGAACGCGGCTCGGACACGGGGGCTGACTCGGGCTGCGCAGCCGACGACCGCAGTCACAAGAAATTCACATTCAAGAAGAGAAGCACCTCTTCTACCGGAGCACATGTAATAATTTTTTATATTCTTTCCATTTTCCTGGACGGTTTCTAATATTTTGTAGGTTAAAACAATTATTTACCAAATTAAAACTAGAGCTATTTATTATCTACACGAATACTAAGCATTTAATATAAATTAAGGATAATGTGAGCTGTGGTAGTTCAGATGGTTAGCGCTCGCTGTAAGCTTCACAGTACTCGAGCAACCCGGGTTCGATCCCCGCCGGCACCAATGAAATTGTTAATTGCAATTTTAAGTGCTGATTTACCACGTGCTCGGCGGTGAAGGAAAACATCGTGAGGAAACCTGCATGTCTGAGAAATAAGAAAAAAATATATTTCGAAGACTTGTGAAGTTCGCCAACACGCATTGGGGCAGCGCGGCGGACATTTCCTTGCCCTAAAACCCTCTCAGAAATGATAGGAGGCCTGTGCTCAGCAGTGGGACGTAAATAGGCAATAGCAACTTTAACTTTAAGAATAATATAATTTATTTTTGAGTAAATCCAAATACAAATTAATATGTAAAAACGAAATGACATCATTATCATTGCATGCAATGTAACAATCTCAGTTCCACTCAAAAACACGCGAGAACTAAAAATGAGTTGCTCGTCATGCATACAGCAAAGGAGTGGAATGTTTTCTCCCACATCTGTCTTTATATCCGACTAACTGTGCCCCGCGGTTTCACCCGCGTATATCACGCGTCTGAGCCGCGCGACATGACATGACACCCAGTTCAAGCATGTTAGATAGCAATGTAGGGAAAAATTGGCAAAATTAATGGAGTTCTTTTATCTATCGGCATATGTACGCTATAGAGCAGTTACATTTTATACACTCTCCCTCACACTACACACTTGTCATGTATCGTGTACTGTTCTTTAAAACTGGAAAGAACCGCGATTCGGGACACTTTTGTGCCGCGGGGAGTGACGCTCACTCGGGAGGGGGAGGGGGAGTGGATAAAATGTAACTTTGTTCTATAACGTACATATGCCGATAGATAAAAGTACTCCATTAATTTTGCCAATTTCCTAGCTAAAATACAAATATTTACATTTCGCTGAATGGCCGACTCAATATATTTTTTTAAATAGCATAGCAACGTGAAATAAAATAGTTTAGAAATAAATTGTGCCTCTTTTTAAAGAACTTTTATTTTAATTGTTATGTATTTACTATTTATCACTGTTAAGCGAAATGTATATTGTTATTATGTGATAAATATGTTTTAACCTGAAATGCGATGAAACTTCGGTGAATTTTTGTGCGCGCGCCCGTAATGGGATCTGTCATAAAACACGTTTTGCAACGCATGACGCACAGCTAGTAGAGTCTAAAATAGTTAGATTGGGGAATTCGTTTTAAACTTAGATCCACATAGACTGATAGACGGAGCTCAACATACATTTCAAGTGACGTCAAAACTATACTCAAGCTCTTGACACGCACTCACGCATATATCTTATTTCTTACTTTCTTTAACAGCCACTGCCTAATCATGGCTAGATGCACGCCTATTTACCTAAAACCATGTTGTTGGTTGCAAATTATTTAAGATGATTATGTGTGTGTGTGAGTGTGTGTTCTTACAAATAAGTTGTACATGATTTTCGCTTGCTTTCGGCTCACTTAAAATGTACGCAGCGCTCATTCTATCTTTCTTTTTTCTGTCGGTCTAAGGTTTTAAACTGGTTATTAAAGCCCGGAAACACACCTGCAAATTGGGGATTGGTAACACCAGGGATGATGATGCAGTCACTTAACTTGAGGTGAGCCACATGCTCGTTTGCCCCTCTCGTATAAAAGTAACAATTGTGGCAGAGCCTCCTGGAAACGGAGGCGGGCGAGGAGTCGGCGAGCCAGTCGCCACTGTCGGTGCGCACGCGGCGGTACCAGCTGACGCCGCGCCAGTCCGAGCGCACCATCCCGTCCGCCGCCGACCTCACGCCGCACCACGCCGCGCCGCACAAGGCCGCGCACTCTAGGTTCCACATCAGCGGCATAGGTGACGTGCCTTCACCTCTGTTAAATACACATACACACACACACATCACGATAAACATATTTTATACATAGATTTATCCTTTTATATTCATGGAAACCACCCACACGTGATAACAAAGATGTTTTAAAAATACAAATAGGTATTTTTTAGTTCTCCTTATGTAGCTAAAATCGCAGCGGTTAAGATATTTCAAAAGACACATGAATCGACAATTATATTTGAAAAGTGCGAAATTTATTTTATGATAACCACACACACACACATAGACAGTATTGAAAGAAAGTTTATGAAATCTCTTTGATTTTTTTTTTATTAAATTGGTGTAATATTTCGTGATTGTTCCCACATATTATATTGAAAAAAACATCCCACCCGCAAGGTTGGAAAAAATAGGACATTAGATTTTAATATCATCATCTTAGAGGACATTGAATTTGTGATATTCCTCAGTCCACTCATAAGGGTCAAAAATCCAACACTTAACAAAAAGTAAAGTAGTTTTGGCTTAAATTATTCGAAGACGTAGTGTGTCTTAACATCGACTTCAGTACATGAAATTATTTTATTATTTTTAATTCTTTGATGTCGACTTTTACTTTTTATTGAAAGATAAATTTTAAAGGAAAGTGGACGACCTGCTACACGATGCCGCCACAAGAACTGCGGTGGTGTCGTGCCGCTGGAAAGCGAACATGATGTATCCGTAAAAATTATTATTTATTTATTTATTAGATATATTTGCATAAAACATGGACAGATAAGGATGGTACAATTCTTAAACACGACATGTTTTGCTATGTGATTGTAAATAGCATGCAAATTTACATAAATATATGTGCATACAAATTAAATTTTTCTAATCAAAACACAAAAACAATTAGACTAAAACAAATAAAATCATAAATAAACAAAGATTGTTAATTCATTAAAAAAAAATCATTTACATTTAACAAATAGGTCTCTGATGTCATAAAATTGATTTTCATTGCGATAAGTCAATAATTTTTTTCTAAATAAATTATTATTATTCGATTTGATTTAATTTGGTATTTTATTACAAATTCGAATACTCTTTCGAATAACATGGTTATTAAAGAGTTTTTACTATATTTGTTTGATCGCGGTACATCATCTAATACAAGTCTATTTGCGTTTATTTTTAGTCTTATATTCATATCATATGCCCTTGTAAACAGATTATTATGTTTTTGTACGAAATTACAAACATCGTAGATTTACAGAGATGGTAGAGGCAAAAACATATATAGTGCTTAGGTCCTCCAGCGATTCTGCCATAAGAACTATATCGTCGGCAAATCGAAGGTGAGTGATGTACTCGCCATTGATGTTGATACCGCATTCTTTCCAGTCCAGCAGCTTGAAAACGTCTTCCAATACAACGGTTTAGAGTTTCGGGAACATAACGCCGTCCTGTCTTACACCTCTCTGCAGTTGGATATGTTTCGTACTCTGATTCTGTACTCGAATAGCCATCGTAGCTCTACTGTACAAACACTTCAGCACTTCGATATACCGACAGTCAACTTGGCACCGCTGAAGGGACTGCAGCACCGCCCAAATTTCGACGGAATCAAAGGCTTTCTCATAGTCCACATACGCAAGGCAAAGTGGCAGATTATAGTCCTCTGTCTTCTGTATAATTTGCCGAAGGGTGTATGTGTGGTCTATGGTACTAAAGCCTTTTCGGAAACCGGCTTGTTCAGGAGGCTGGAAATCGTCAAGTCTGCGTGCGAGACGATGTGTAATGACTCTCGAAAACAACACGTAGACGCGGCTCAGAAGGGAAATCGGTCTGTAGTTCTTCAAGAGAGCGTTGTCGCCTTTCTTGAAGAACACATCTACCGCACTTCTGCTCTACGCCTCCGGAATAGTGCCACCATGGAGGACGGAATTAAAGAGCTTTTGAAGGACTTCAAGTACCGGTTTTCCACCCGCTTTCAAAAGCTCCGCTGTAATTCCATCCTTGCCTGGGGCCTTGCCGTTTTTATGGTGCTGGAGAGCCATTCTGATCTCGCTCAGACTGACGTCCGGGATATCTTCGGAATAGTGTCGGATAAGACTCGCTCTTGGATCGTTACTCACACTTGCGTGTGGCTCCAACGATGACGTGTACAGCTGCCCATAGAACCTCTCAATCTCACTCAAAATCTCAGGTGTCCCCGAAACGATGCTGCCACATTCGGTCTTCAGCTTTGACAGTTGGCTCTTTCCGGCAGACAGACTTCGTGCAAAGACTTTGGAGCCTTGGTTCCGCTCGATCGCTTCTTCAATACAAGCTGTATTGAAGATGCGTAAATCCCGATACATGCATTTTGAGATCTGTCTGTTCAGTTGCCTGTATGCTTTCAAATCTGTTGAAGAATGTAGCTTCATCTCCCGTCTAACAGCCATGAGATTAAGAGTGTGATCGGAGAGTTTTTGTATTCTTCTGCGGCGGGTCTTGCAGAACTTAGCTCAGACCGCATGGACAGTTTCCACGAGCTTGTCATTCATATCGTTTTGTAACTCGAGCTGAAAGGTTTCGGGACATTGAAACAGAGCACGAGGGGGACGGAGCGTTGTCTTCATTAGATGAGACCTTTCCAACTTAACGTTTAGGTTTAGTGTGCCTCTAACCATTCGGTGATCGCTACCAGTTTTCACCCTCGCTATCACGGAGACATCACTGAACAGTTGTCGTCTGGTCGTCATAATGAAGTCAATCTCATTTTTTGTCGAACCGTCGGGGCTCGACCGCAATTATTTGGCCAAGATCCGCTTATAAATAAAAATGATGTTACTTAGTTTGAAGTGAACATACCTCAATTGCTTGCACTGTCTATTTAATTATAAATCTATATAATAATTGATGGAGTAATAGAGGCTAACGTACAATATAATATATCCATGGCCTAATGTGTAAACAACACATCAGACCTTAACATGGAAATATATTGATATTGGGGCTTCAGGAAATCGAATCTATTACAACAACTTTCAAATGGGTAATTAAAAAGTATATTAAAATTAAGACAAAATATATAATTTATAATTACAATTTTCGTCACTTGGTGAACCTTCATCTTAGTGTTTGTAATTTCTATTTATTCACAAATGTTTTATTAACTATAAAAACCGGCCGGTAACGCCTCACAGGTCATCGTGATCGTGTCGTGAGGGTGTGTGGTAATGCTATACAAATTACAAACATTAGATATCAAAGGGCATCATCAGGGTACCCTAATTATGCCGTGAGGCCGTGAGGTACGGCTATACAAATTACAAACGCAAGACAATGTAAATAGGACAGTTCAAGCTAAAATGTAGAGAAATTGTTGCGTGCAGTGAAGTGGTTCCGCGCGCGGCCGCAGCCGGCTCCGCTGGCGCGCAACGGCGGCGGCTCGGGCGAGTCGCTGCCGCAGTTCGGCAGCGTGGTGTCGCTGGCGCGGCCGCAGCTCGCCGCGCGCCCCGTGCACGTCAAGCGCCGCGTCGGACACACGCTGCACAGGTGACGTGCTCACGTGACGAGCTGGCAGCGTGGTGTCGCTGGCGCGGCCGCAGCTCGCCGCGCGCCCCGTGCACGTCAAGCGCCGCGTCGGACACACGCTGCACAGGTGACGTGCTCACGTGACGAGCTGGCAGCGTGGTGTCGCTGGCGCGGCCGCAGCTCGCCGCGCGCCCCGTGCACGTCAAGCGCCGCGTCGGACACACGCTGCACAGGTGACGTGCTCACGTGACGAGCTGGCAGCGTGGTGTCGCTGGCGCGGCCGCAGCTCGCCGCGCGCCCCGTGCACGTCAAGCGCCGCGTCGGACACACGCTGCACAGGTGACGTGCTCACGTGACGAGCTGGCAGCGTGGTGTCGCTGGCGCGGCCGCAGCTCGCCGCGCGCCCCGTGCACGTCAAGCGCCGCGTCGGACACACGCTGCACAGGTGACGTGCTCACGTGACGAGCTGGCAGCGTGGTGTCGCTGGCGCGGCCGCAGCTCGCCGCGCGCCCCGTGCACGTCAAGCGCCGCGTCGGACACACGCTGCACAGGTGACGTGCTCACGTGACGAGCTGGCAGCGTGGTGTCGCTGGCGCGGCCGCAGCTCGCCGCGCGCCCCGTGCACGTCAAGCGCCGCGTCGGACACACGCTGCACAGGTGACGTGCTCACGTGACGAGCTGGCAGCGTGGTGTCGCTGGCGCGGCCGCAGCTCGCCGCGCGCCCCGTGCACGTCAAGCGCCGCGTCGGACACACGCTGCACAGGTGACGTGCTCACGTGACGAGCTGGCAGCGTGGTGTCGCTGGCGCGGCCGCAGCTCGCCGCGCGCCCCGTGCACGTCAAGCGCCGCGTCGGACACACGCTGCACAGGTGACGTGCTCACGTGACGAGCTGGCAGCGTGGTGTCGCTGGCGCGGCCGCAGCTCGCCGCGCGCCCCGTGCACGTCAAGCGCCGCGTCGGACACACGCTGCACAGGTGACGTGCTCACGTGACGAGCTGGCAGCGTGGTGTCGCTGGCGCGGCCGCAGCTCGCCGCGCGCCCCGTGCACGTCAAGCGCCGCGTCGGACACACGCTGCACAGGTGACGTGCTCACGTGACGAGCTGGCAGCGTGGTGTCGCTGGCGCGGCCGCAGCTCGCCGCGCGCCCCGTGCACGTCAAGCGCCGCGTCACACACGCTACTCACGCGACACGCGGCTAGCTGGTCAAAGAACCTTTTTCTGCCATCTCTGCCTTTCGACACCTATGACGAAATAAATAGAATATGCCATCATCATACCGTAATCAATTAATTAAATCGAACATTATTTTACAAGCAATCTTCGGATAATATGTTGTGTTTCACACCATCATCAAATGCAATATTTTACCAAGAAAAAAACCTTTTTTTCTCTATCTACAGCCTACACCGAACTTTATTTTTCAAACTTTACAACTTACATTGAAAAGTGTCAAGAGTGCATGGACACGTAATATTATTTGCACTTTATATTATAACTAGTTATAGTTGAATAACTAGGAAATACAAAACTATCATAAAAATAAATGTTTTAAAAGTATTAGAAATTTATAATCCCATTTTTTTATTTCAGGGCAAGAAAACGAGTTGAAGACAGATTAAATAGATTTGGTCTTCGAAAAATGGGAAAGAAAAGAGATGGAAGCATTGAAGAAACTTCTGGTGGATGTAAGTTAGATTTTTAAATGTATATGCTTATATCAAGCTTCCATATTATCAAATTCAAGCTTTCCATCTGTAGCGTGCTTTAGCTTTTTGAAAATGCAATAAGGTATATATCGCTTACTAACTCTTAATACGTAATTAGTTATAAAAGATAACAATGTACATTCATCTACACGTTGGAACGTATATATATATATATATATATATATATATATATATATATATATATATATATATATATATATATATAAGTTATAATAAGAGCATTATAACTAAAGTTCCAGTACCAACAACACGTCTCTATCTTATTAACATTACATCACAAGCACTATTGAAGTCACATAACACAATTTTTATGACTAGAAGTCATACTAGTGTACATTTATAAGCAAAAATGTTTGTGCTAAAATCTTCCAGTAATTTTGACATTACAACATTATCGTCGATTAATAATTAATCTATATATCTTACTATCTGTTTTTAAAAGATTACTAAGTAGATATTTATCCCATTAGTTTATGAAATTTTTAAATTATTAAAATAATAAAACCAAAATCTCATTACTTTTAACTTCTTCCGTTCTTATCTCATCAGGATTTTCTTACATTACATTGAAGTCAAACCCTAAACTAGTAAGGACACAACCCTTGTTATTTATGTGTAATCATGCGTAACTAATTAGGTAGTATTAGATAAATTTACCGAACTTTTAGCTAATTTTTTCGTTTACTTTTACTAGCAAAAAGTAGCTTGGTTTTATTTCCCATATTTATTATTCTGATTCATAATTTGTTTTCACTCTAAAATAAATATTGTCAGTCATCAAGATTAATAATAAAAAAAAAATACTTTCTAAAGAACTAAGACTTGTCGATAGCACTATAATAGTGCATTATCTTCGTATGGATGGCAAACGTCAGGCAGAACGCCGCACTCGGCGTTCTGCCTGACGGTCACGTCACTACGTGACCTCTCTGTCTCTGGAAAACCTAGCGGCTGTCTAATTTGAACTGATCCAAACGCAGAGTTTTTATAGTTGTTTTATAGAGAATACTTTTAAAATATTCATAGAAAAATAATAAAGCTAGCATTGAGTTATATGTACTACGTACTAGAGAAGCCATTCCAAACAAAAATTGTGTGCTACTCTATGTTTCCGCGCATGCGCGGGAGTAGTAGTCGCGCATGCGAGAAAACTTTAATTTGATATGAAATAAGATATTAATATAAAATAAATATACGAATTTAATATGAAATATCTTAATTTAATCTAAACAAACATATTTTTAAATAAAATGTAATAATAATTATTTTATGGAATTCACAAATATTCAATTTACGCAATATTTAGTTTGTACGGATTGCAGTACAGTTCAGTTGAACATAGTCAATGTTCGAAATGGCTTCTCTAGTACGTAGTACATATAACCCAATGAAAGCTAGTTTATTTTTTATTTTAAAAGGTAATGTTCTTCTAAAATTTAAAGGTATTATTATATTAAATTAAGTAACATAAATTGGTTAAAACAATAATTTTTTCCACTGCACATTCCCAAAAGTTTCACATGTTTTGAATTTCTTATGTATATAACATAAACCAAAATATATTTTCTAGTAACTGTTTTCCTTACAATTAGTAAAATTTATTGTGTTTTTTGTTTCTTACATTTGTCAGCGATTTCAGATATTTTAAGCGTTGAAATAAATTAAAAATCAAGAAAATCTCAGTTTAGTTTCTTGATAGTATCCACAAATACTGTAGTAAGGGGGCGTTCAATTATTACGTAACGCAATTTGGGGGGAGGGGGGGTCTTGTAAAACGTTACCATCCGTTACAGGGGCGGGAGGGGGTCGTTCGACCAACGCGTTACGTAACATTTTTTCATTTTAAATAAAAAAAAACAAGGGAATTAAAATCTCCCAAGTTAGCAACCCTTTTCGTTTAGGTTGACGCCGAGGATTCCGATGCTAGCTGAGGTAGCAAGGGGAGTGCCTTGAAACTGAGGAGATACGATAAAGGGGTTCTTTTTAGCGGTAAACGCGCAAACTTGTGTCTTCAGGGGGCCTACTACGAAGTCTTATTGCCGGTCAGTTTAAGACCGTAAACTGAATTGCCTTGCTTTGTCGTACTACGAACGCGTCTCATTGCAGGCCAACCTGTGATGACGTAACGAAACATTTCAGTGGCCGGCAAGCTAGCTCAACGTTTTAAATCGGTACTATGAACTCACTTTTGACGTTTGTAACAGAGTTGTGACCCGTTTATTGAACAGTGTATCTGTCATATTAAACACTTCAATAAAAGTTGCTTGGTGGGAGCTTTTTCTGAATCGTTAAATATTCTAATAGTATAATAGTAAGTATTAAAAGTGTTTCTTGAAGTTATACATGCTTAATTGGGTTTCTTGCTTTAAAATTGTTATATTATTTACATAATATACATATAAAATTGAAAGAACAATATTACGGAGCTAAATCGACCCGTTTTCGATCGGTAACTGTGAATTTGTAAAACGATATAGTTTAAGCAAAAACTTAGTGTTGGAACTTTGTGATGATTTAAGACCTTGTATGACAAAGCCTGCTAAGTTTACTGATTTGTCGATCGAAACCAAGGTTGAGTATTAATTAAAACATTCATTACTAGTAAAACATTACTAAAAGTGATGTGTATTTAATGCAGTTTTAGCAAAAATTCGTACTGAATATTTTTTATATTTTTTACAGTTTTTACAATTATTTTTAGGTCTTAATTGCACTGTCTCTCTACGGTATGCTCCCATTGAGAACAATATATATATATATATATATATATATATATATATATATATATATATATATATATATATATATATATATATATATATATAAGATTTCCAAGAGCTGCTTGCTGTACATATAAGTACAAATTTAATACATAATTTTAATTGATGATAACAACAACTTCTATTATTAGAACCATTGAACATTAATAATATCTACCATTATATCATGCAGCAAGCTCAGCAAAGATTTATAATTAATATGACATTGTAGATTTTACAACAAATTTGAGATGCCTGGAGATTTAGGCTGCATTGATTTTACATATGTGGCAATGGTCCGTCCTTCACAAAATGAAGAGAGACATTACTGTAGAAAACAGTACCTATCATTCTTTAAATGTGCAGTTGGTAAGAAATATTGTAATAAAACCACAAATTCAATAATGTCATTTTATTGATACATAAATCATTTAAACACTAAGTATATATTTGAATTAATATTTTAGATATGCAATATAGACATGGATATAATCAGTGTAGACGCAAGTTTGGGGAGCTTCACATGATGCTTTTATATGGGCTAATCACCCTTTGAAGGCACACATGGAAGGCCTCGGCACAAACGAGACGATATGCTTCTTGGTAATGACTTTACATAATAATAAATAGATAGGTACATAATATACATAACTGCCATGTTTCAGATGTCTCCTAGTGCATAGTGTTACATTATGAGCCTCACATGGTGGCTTCTATTATAAATGCATGTGTGGTAATGCGCAACATATGCAATAAGACTAATGTCAGTGTAGAAGAGCTGCAGCTACCTCTAGCTTTGTATGAGCATGAATCGCAACGATTAACTTCTCCCTGCCAGGATTCTGCAGTAAATTCTAGGGCCGCACAAAATCCAGAGCTCCGAGAAGGCATAACGGTCAGAAGTAACCTTATCAATCACCCATGGATATGTCGGAGGGCAACCTGAAAATAAATTTGATTTTAAAACTATGGTTTTTTTGTTTAAATTTTTCTATTAGATTTATAGAGAATATTTTGAAAAGACGTAAAATAAATATTAATAGTATCTAGAATACTTTTTGTATATCTCAAAACTTATTGAGTGACCTACGTATAATCTATGCAATTATTCGAACAATTTATTCTACTTAGATATTTTTATGCCAATAAATGATAGATAATATAGGACATAACGCAATTTTTAACATCTTTTATGACATACTTATGAATTATGATCAACAAATAAATATATTAATATTATTACTATTTTCAAAAATTTAAATATTATACAAACTAAAAACCCTTTCTACTTTTTTATATCTATGTGGAGATTTTGGACTTATTCTCGCATTTATTTATAACCATTTAAGAAATCAGTTAAAAATTGTAGAGCCTTAATAGCTCTGAGACTAAGCGCTTGCCGAATATTTCACAATATGTATGCAAACAATTTGGGTTCGATCCCTGTCAGCAGTGAAACTGTTAATTGAAATTTTTAGTACTGATTTACCCTTAACTTAATTTATTCTATGTACAACATAAATATTTCTAAGCAACCTTCTCTCAATGCGTTCCAAAACATCTTGAATTCGATGAGGAACTTGCACGAACTCCGTAATATTGCGGCTATTACGAGCCTCCTTTTCAGCCCGCAATTGGGACGTTTCAACCAAGGCTCTTCTTGCTTCTTCCTGAGTAATACGCACACGTCGATTGCGTCGTCTTCTTTGTTGTTGTTCACCTCCAGTTGGTGCAACAGAAACCGCTTGTGTGGGATGTGCCTCTGGAGTACTTGTAGGTGCAGTATGAGATATACAAGGCTCAGGAGCATGTACGTCTACAAGTACTGGTGGTTCACTTTCAGTCTCTAGCTGTTGCTGCTCTTGAACCAGTGAACTCCTGGAATTAACACCTTCAATGATTTCAATGGTATTAAGAACAACTTCTTGTTCCAAGGACTGTTGGACCTCCTGTAGAGGTATTTGGGACATATCTGAAGTCGATGCAGCCTGTAAATAATATAAAATGTGATGAAGCAATTATCATTACGAATTAAACTCTTTTGTCGCTACAAAATGCATGTAGCTGAATTTGTGTACATTGCACAAAATTTAATCAATATATCTACAAATAACTAAATAAGTTATCGCGAAGATAGATATCTTAGCTTAAGTCAAATAAAATTTAAACTTTGGCCAACCCATGTTTTAATGAGATACAAGAAAAAACTTACATGAATATTTGAATCTTCAAATGGATTTACACGAATACCAGGAAGGCCCAAACCAAAATCTTCACCTACAATACTTAAAAACTTCTTTTCTAAAGTCGACAGCTGTGGAACATTAGATGGCTCTCCATCAGTCCGAGATTGCGCAGATCTAATAGTAGCACACCGCTTCTTCAGCTTCCCCTTGTAATCAATCCATTACTGAAAAAATGAAAGCTATTTTGAATATTCATATAAATAATATGCGTTTTCAACTTCAACAGTCCATAGACAGAAAAAAATTTACAATGATAAATATTTACTCATATAATACTTACGGCAGACCAGCCTTTTCCGTCCTTAACGGCACCATCTCCAAATGAATTGAGGGTTTGGGCTACCTCCTCCCACATGCGGCGGGAAGTTTCTCGAGCTTGTGCACTTTTATTAAAGCCCACTGCAACATCTCTATTGGAATTTAAAAACTCCCATAGGATTTCTAATTGAGAGTATGTTACGCGATGACGACGTTGTACTTCAGCCATTGCTTCTTTAGTAATGAAATCACATTTCGCCTTTAATCTTAACGAAACCACACAATTCCTTTAAAATATTACGGTACGAAGGGTGCTTACATTTAAAATGGATATGGTAACTAATTTATTATCCACTTGACACACAAACATATTATAATAAATTCTCAAAAAGAGCACACAAACTAAATTTCGCCTCGACTTAAGTGACTTTACACCATCAATCACATCTCAAATTGAAAACACATATTACAAAAAGCCACTTTAGTTCCTCGTCGTCATCGTAAATTAATAAACAAAACCCGTAGAAACAAAAAAATGGTTTTTGTTATGTTTGAATATCTTAAAAGCATATTACTACCTCATTTCAAATGGTAATAATTTAATACATTGTTAATTTATTTAGTATTAAAAAACTACAAGAATATAGGTTTCACTTTCAGACAGACCTTAAAATTAAAGAGATAAACTTATATAACATTTGTATAGCGTCCTCTCACTCGAACGGTTAGCCAAAACAAGACAGAGACAACGCTAACCCGTGAGCAAAGCCGTTATATGGGTTTAAAACAGTTGAGCTAAGCGTAGTTCATAGTACCAAATAAAGCATTTCAGTTTAAGGTCAGAAACTGAACTGCTCGGAACTTGCCAAGTTTTATAAACACTTCGTAGTAGGCCCCCTGGGGAATGAACTGGACTAGATTTAGTCGCCCCCAATCCGAGACTTTGTTCAGCAAAGACTCGACTTCATACACAAGTTTTGTTTGTTTTTTACATTGCATTGCCAAAGGTAAAAATAAATATGTTATTTTATTTTAAGAGTTTATTTAATAAAATGTATGTAAGGAAAAGGCCAAGTTAAAAAAAAAAACGGCGTAATTAAATGTAAGGTTAGTAGTAAAAGTTTATTAGGACTGATTTGAGCCCATTTTAACATATTTTAAATTTAAGCAAATGTTTATTACATTGTGTGATTGTTTATTAAATAACAATATGAATAAATAAAATAAACAATCAAAAGTGTATTGCGAGGAAGAAATCTCGTTTTATTTATTACTAGCTGACCCGTCGAACTTCGTACCGCAATGTTACCATCGTAGAAATATTGACAAATATTTATACGATACGATACAATATTATATTTATAAGATAATAACGTCACTCAATTGTTTTGCCTTCCCGGAACCCCTCCACTAACACTTAAACTTTATTGGTATGGTATTAAAGTTAAAAGTGTAAGTAAAGTAAAATTGCCTTTTAAGTATTGTTACGAATCTTTTGTTTGGGAATATAGAAAAGTGTTGTTTTTATACTTTTTCAGGCAATTTTTTAAACTTTTCTCTCCGTAAGAACCATATTAGTACTTCAGGGAATATTATAAAAAAATAATTAGCGAAATCGGTCCAGCTGCTCTCGAGATTTGCGCTTAGCAACACATTCAGCGATTCATTTTTATATTATAGATTACCGCAAACGCGATTAAAACAATAACAAAGTTATTTTAGCGACTTTCCGGTAATTTGCGCAAAGTAATTGTGACTTTTAGGTAAAAATGGTCACTTGGGTGTTACGTAACGTTTAGAGAGGGGGAGGGGGGGTCTAGATAAACGTTACGGCGCGTTACATAGGGGGGTGGGAGGATCAAAAATCTTCAAAAATTGCGTTACGTAATACTTGAACGGTCCCTAATATAAAAAAAATCTCTTACTGGTATGTATTTAGACGGTAAAATTTAGTAAAGCAATAGGTAATTAATATTTGTGTAACATAAGCATAAGGTTGATGGACATTAACGGGTTTGAAAACAACTGTTTTAAGCTAATTAGCGTTTGCAACATACATACTTACGTTCTTAATTATTATGTAAGGTATAATACACTTAGATTAGTATTTGCATGAGAAATAGAGATATGGGTGGCGGTGGTGTGTGGTGAGTGTGGTTGCGGTTGCAGTGATGTCGCGGCGCGGGTCGGGCGAGGGCGCGCCGGGCGGCGGCGAGTCGGAGGTGGTGGTGCTGAAGCGGCGGCGCCTGGTGTGCGCGGCGCCGCTGCACGCCGGCCTGGCGCGCCTCGCCTTCCTGCTCGACGCCACGCAGCCCGGCGCCACGCCCGACGCGCTCTTCATGGCCGCGCTGCTCGACCTCGTCAGACACACTTATTTTTTCTTTTTATACAATAACGGTGACAAGCGAGCACACAGTCCACCTGATGATAAGAGATGCCTCATTTCCAGTAATAAGGGTTCGGTACCGGTTCTCTACATTGACCATATGAAACAGCAGCATTGTGCTGCTATTTCACCCTGGTATTCTATGAGAGCGTGGTCTTTCCCTGATCGAGGCAACCCATGCGTACTCCGACTATAATAGAATAGAATAGAGTAATTTTTATTCCATATTGATAACGAGTAATTCTTATTGAAAGTCATTTTTAATAGCTGTAGTGTGTCTCTGACACATATAAAAACTTCACCGCAACCACAAACACTTCTATCTATAGTACTGTACGGCCTCTAGCTCTGCAGACTTTAAAACATTGCGTACTAAATTACAATAATAAGTCAACTGCGAGCGGCCGAGAATACCAGTTCTTTGTTCTGTAAACCGCGAATGGTGCTTTCGATAATGTAACACTGATTTTGTTAAATATGACTAAGAAAACGCTATCATGAGTTATGTGCGCACATTGTCAAAGTTATTTCAACTTTATTTCAGATAACTGTCACAAATAAAAATACAACTGCGTGGCATATTTACCGTGCTAGCTACCCAGACGGCGCCCGCATGATTAACAACTGTGACAGTTTTTTTTCTGAATTACCGATCTAGTAGTATACCTAGAAACACAGCCTAAGATAGATACAGTCAGTCATCGCGTTTGATGTTGTCTGAAAAGCCGACATAAACACTACATTGCTAGGGTTGTCAGAACGGGAAGTTATAAAAAAAAACTTATTTTATTTTATTTCTATTTGTATGTGGAAACTGATGAAAGTAATTTCTTAACTTTAAATGAGGAGGAGTTCTTTTACCACACGTGTAATGTGAACCAATTTAATTTATTTGCGTGATAGCCAACCCTAGCGGACAGTTGCTCAGCCCGTGTCTCGGCCCGCACCGCACCGCACGATCGCCCCGTATAGACGCCTTCGATGACCGTCTGTTAGTAGTAGTTAGACTGAGCTAAAAGTATAAATAACTATTATGGGTCAAACCAGTGGGTTTTGATACGTGAAATTGGTGCGATTTTGTTTGTCAAATATCGGCGCACGTGAACTATTTGCACTTGTTTTCATCGTTCAGGCAACTTAATACTGCTGGGTTTCGTATCGTTAGAGAACCTTTTCAGCGTTAATGGGGATTCTTTAGTCCTCAGTAAAACGCATCTACAATTTTATTCTTATTTTTTTTAATCTACAATTTTATCCTCAAGATAAGTGTCTATGGGCCACAGCATCAACTTTTACTATCAAGTAGACTGTATTTTCGTATCGACGTTATGACTCGTATGTCATCCATATTCTATTAAAAACCTATATAGTTGGACAAACTGTCGTTCTCACACACGCTTGTATACTTACACTTGAAAAAATAAGAGTGTAACAGGTGAACCTTGAAGTCATTCTCTCCGCAATATAGTTTAGCCAAGAACGCTTGCTGCGTTTCCTCGCTGAATGGCGACAAAAGATCTAGCCCTCTTTTTTTTATAGGATAGGGTGACAATCGAGCACACAGTCCACCTGATGGTAAGTGGTTGCTGTGACCCATAGACATCTACATCTATCCTCAATAAAGAATCAAAATGCAGATGCGTTGTCACCCGTGAGGACTAAGATGGAATGCCTCTTCTCCAGTAAAAAGGGTCTCCGGTTCTCTACACTTACCATACGAAACACAGCAGCGTTGAGCTGCTATTTTACGCTGGTATTCTGTGAGAGCGTGGTCCTTCCCCGGTCAAGCCGACCAATTCGTGCTACAACTATACAATTAATATAGCTGCAACATGGCTCTACCACGTAGAATATTTTGTTAGCAGCGGCGAGAAGTCGCGGCATGGTGGCATATATCCTACTTACGGGATAAGCTATGGGTTGGCCGATGTTCCGCGATGAATTTTGATAGGCTGTAATGCGTTCATAAATGAAAGTCATCACAGATACAAAAGTAATATCTATTTCTTCAAGTGTATGAGTACCCAAGTCGTTTACGTTAGCCGACAAATTCACTATGTAAGGTTTTTTAGCTGTTTCGTGGTAAGACACGGGAGTACGAAACTTATTAATGATGAATTGAATTTGAATACTTCTGTTTCAGCCTTATACCGTGGTCGTGGCACGTGCTGCTGTCCTACTAGAGTGCGCTCATCTAGTGCACAATTGTAACAAGGGTCAGTGGCCCAATTGGCTGAAATCTAATGTCGTCAAAAATTCTCGTAAGTAGCTCTTGACTTAAATATTGCACTAAGATATAAGTGTTTGTACTCGTACCATAAGATCTCTCTATCCAACTTTACTCTGAAACCGTTATATTTTTATGCTACTTTAAGCCCTTCTAATCTTTTTAATTTTTTAGGACATTTTAAAATATTTTTATGATTTCGTTATTTATTTTTTATAATATTATGAATCAAAACTGTCAACAGTGTCAGCAAGTCCACAGCTGAGAAGACGTCTCGCGGGGAAGCTTTTTTACCAATGGGCCGAAGTAAGTTCATATTGTTTATTTTTGTTTAGTTTCTATAAACAAATTTGAAATTGTTTCACCAATATTATTGTTTTAGGCTATTGGAAATAGATTAGAGGAAATGCTGGAAGAGGATAAAAAACATCTGGATAATGTCGTTTCTCTGGTAACAGACCCAGATGGCCAACGAGAACTATTGCAACAAGATGAAGAGGAGGATTTCCTTGACGAAGGTACTTAATTTTATGATTTTATGGTTTGTGTCGTGTAGTCTTTAAAAATCACCAAAGATTTTTGAAGTAATCGCTGGATGATTTAAGCTCTCTAACATAATTTAATCTACATTAGCCCTCACTAACACCAGTTATAGTTATATCTCCTGTTTCTGTATTTTTTCTAACAGCAAGCATCCGCATTCCTGGCAAGACAATCGGTGCCGAATGTCCCCGAGCCTTAAGACTCGTCGCTTGCACACTGCTGTTCGAAATTACAGCTTTTCTTCGCGAAACTTACCAAAATCTACCCAAATCGAGTCGATGCTCGTTGAAGGAACGTGGCCCTTGGGACAGGGTGTACAGGTAAGTACACTATCTCCTTAGACTATTGCAGAGTAGCTGTTACTTCGCTTTCCATATAAAAATGATTATTTTTATTTTTTGCGAAGATGGATGCGAAAACGACGTTTGTTTTGTAAGAATATGTGAGTTACCGAGCTATATTTATTTGAAGTGATATTATATGGAGTGTACATTTTTTGACGAGATTTTTATTTTAACAGGGCTCTTAGCAGTCAACAGACATTAGTGCCAGTCGAGTATGTGTTTAAATAAAGTAATGCATGTTCATTTGCATTCTGCACCGAGCGTGCATGTATTTAGTGTGTAAAAATATACAAAATTATAGTAACAATTTAGACTTTAATAAGTACAAATCGTGGTTCCGCAGAACAGTACAACCCGTGTTCTTTTTTTCTGCATTTCTGAATTATTTACACTTCTTTTGGCAGGTCGAGGGTAAAAAACATATTTTATAATATACAGGGTTATTTTTCAAAGACTAGCCAAATTTAATAATTAAATTCAAAATATAAACACTGATATACACTTTTTAAAAATACGTATAAATAAGGTTTCTACATTTATTTGAAAATATCCGAAATTGAATATGATTTATGGGCAACAACAACGCGCGCTCGTGTGCGTACGAGTCCAATACACGGAGCTTTTGTCTACTATTTACTTATTTAATGACACCTCGCTACTAAGTTGAAAACTACGACGCGAATTATGATTCCAATTTTCCCTTCATACTTTAAACGGGCTTAGGACCGTCATAATAAATAAATAATAATAAAAATACATCGCAACGACGTCAAATAAAAAATTCGGTACTCCTTAAATTTAAATACTATTTTTACTCCCACATAAAACACAGTTTGAAATACAAGTTTAGACTACAGAGCGAGCGAAAAAGGTGGAAAATAAATGTAAATAATTATTTGTAGAAAAGATACTTGAGTTCGAAAGAATAGGTTGGCGCGATTTAAATAATGGTTACTCAGGCGGAGCGACCGTACCATCGAGCGCTGAAGGCATTTAAAAGCAGATTAGCAGACTGGCTGGCCGGTAAAAAAGAAGGCGCCCGGACGTCTGCCGAGCATTGTCGACTTCTACCGATATAAACTTAGCGTCGGCGCGTAAGCTGATCGATAAACATATTATTCAAAACTGACAGACATTATGGTGTATTTAAAAATTGGAATCAACTATTTACAACTATTAAAAATTTAAAACGATTAACTATTTACAACAACGATCTATTAACATCTTAAATATGCAATCACTTAAAATAAGACTAACTTACTGGTATTTTAATAGGTATTCAAAACAGAGTCCGTTTCTCACAATGCATAGTTGATAACGTTTCCTTAAATTATTTTTCACATTAATTACATGTGTCTTAGCAGTTTTCACTTCCGTTAATGTAGCAATTATTTTGCTGAGGAGTCGTCATACCTAGCTTTATGCGCCCATAAATAGAGGTCTAATGATCCTGCAGGCCATGGTATAGCGCCGCCACGCCTAATCCACCTATCTTCGTATAATAACTCACTGCACTTGAATAGTGAGGCGGAGCACTGTCGTGTTGGAAATAAATTTTATTCAGTAACACTAGGGCGTATATCGTTCAGGAAATCTTGAATAACACCTTGTAACATGTCCAAATAATTCATCATCATCATTACAGCCCTTAACAAGTCCACTGCTGAACATAGGCCTCCCCCAAGGAATGCCATAAAGCACAGTCCTGAGCCACCTGCATCCATCGACTTCCTGCATAACTTACCAGGTCGTCACTCCATCTAGTGGGGGGACGCCCTACACTTCGTCCGCCGGTACGAGGCCGCCACTCGAGAAACTTTTTTCCCCATCGGTTGTCGGTTCTTCGAGCTATATGGCCGGCCCATTGCCACTTCAGCTTACTAATCCGTTGGGCTATGTCGGTCACTCTGGTTCTACTGCGGATATCCTCATTTCTAAGTTTATCACGCAGAGAAGCTCCGAGCATAGCTCTCTCCATAGCTCGCTGAGCGACCTTGAGCTTCCTCATCCAGCCAGCAGTGAAGCACCACGTCTTAGTACCATAGGTCATCACTGGCAACACGCACTGGTTGTACAGTCTTGTTTTCAAGTTTTGAGGTATACCTGACGAGAAGATGTGCCGTAATTTCCCGAACGCTGCCCAACCGAGTTGAATCCGTCGATTTAGGATATAAGATGTGGCACCAATTAATTACCACCCATTAGTCGTCTTTCAATGAAGAACGGGCCCATAATTATGTTATCAAAAAAAAAACGCACTAGGTGATAACTGTGGGTTGCATACAGTAGAGTAATGTTGGTTACGACTATTATAAAGCCCTACACGCGTAAATAAGGCTTTGTTAGTCCACATAATATTAGTATTATTAATGTTTGACATTGAGCATTCACTAAATTTTTTTCGAGATGGACAATCGCTATTATTCAATGCTTTCACACGTTGGTAATGAAATTAGTGATATTTAGAAGAATTCAGTAGTATCCACACGTAATACTGGCTAACCCTGAATTCTCGAATGATGCAGTCATTGTTGCTAGCGCGGGGGTTTCGCTCGAAAAACTCGTTCACTGTGTTTTCGACAGTCGGGCTTATTACTGAATGACCACCTCAAGCACTTCCATGTGACGGAGTGGTGAAATGTCCAAAGTCTAACAGCATTTGGTTTGGTAAACACTCCGTTTGGGTGGTGTGCGCGCGTTATTTCCTTGTATTTGCAAATCGTGTAAAGACTCACTTTCCTATAATCTAAATGACAAGTAATACTACCTACGAACATTTAAAAATAGAACACTCGGTACGTAATGAGGTCACGGTCAAGTCAACACTGTCGGTCGGCCAGGTGAACGTACCCCGTGCCCAGCGGTAACAGAAGGGAAAGAGCGGGGAGCCAAGGAGACGCGTTTGTCTTTCCTGAGTCAAAACAACAGCTATTGGATACCTAAATCTGTAACCGAGCAAGAGCGCTGAACACATCCGAACTCACTCCCTTACGAATGTGTGCGTGCGTGTAAAATAGTAGGCGCTTCATATTTTATGAATCACAATCAATAAAAATAATATAAAGGATAAAATGTTTAAGTTTTTTCTTGTTAAAATTTTCTCACCATTTGCTTATATTACCTATTCTGAACCACCTCTGCTAATTTGGCCGGTTATTGCAAAATAACCCTGTATATTTATATACACGGAATTGTCATGTGTGACAAGATATTTATTAAATGATAGTTCTTTCAAGTTTAAATACAAAAAAATGTAAAATAATTAAATCGTGTTTCTATAACCGTGTAACATATAAATAATTATACTAGCGTTACTGACACTAGTACCAGGCCACGCGCACTCCGCAATTAACGTACAAAGCTATAAGTATATCTGCGGGCCAATTTCACTGGGTTGGCGCGTGCTCGTAACGTAACGCACGTAAGCCCTCAGGTCAGAAGCTTCGCGTCAAAAGAGATAAGAGTTACGTGATTTATGTCCTCCTCCTTCAGACCAAATTTTGCGTCACGGCGGCCATTTTAAACAGAGACTAAGTAGGCATCTGCGCAGGATAGGATTATAGTGCCCGAGTGTATGCGTAAGCACAAATACACTATTCCCTCAGTCTCGTAATCTGATGAGACGGTAATCTGACACGACCGGAGAGAAATCAGGAACGGATTTACGTGCTTTTCGAGAGTCGGGGGTAAAACACTGCAAGTTACGCGATAAAAAGAGACGCACCGTGTAGGTGAATAAAATATTAGGCACTTGCGCTGTTTGAGCTAATTTGCACTATATTACGTCATATCTAGAGTCGCTATTTATTAAAATTATTTTAAGGAGTGATCCATCTGTTCCTTGTACTATTATACTATTCTGTGCTAATACTAAGAACTAAGCTTAAATTACAGAGTATCTTGCTTAAATTTCTAGTGCTAGGAATGGTTCATGAGTTGGAAGTAGTGCAGTACAGACTAGATAATAGTATAAGGTTATAGCACGAATTGGATCGGCTCGACCAGGGAAGGACCACACTTTCACAGAATTAGATAGCAAAATTATTGAAATATAATATCGCCGACACTTCTGTACGATTTAGCTTAGCTTATAGCTTTTCTTTTTCTGTTGTTGTAAACTTTCAGTAACAATTTGATTTCACAACCTTACGAATGCTGTTCTGCGATAACCCATGAAATGGATAATATTTACAATTCCATAGTTTTAATTTTTAAAAGTTAAATAACTTGAAGTGCATGGAGATTTTAAGTACTGTAGGCACGATTTACTCGTATTATTATAAACTGTATCATAAATAAACTTAATCTTAAAATAACAAATAAGTAATTTTAAAGACATCTTTTTATTTTATATGAGCGGCCCCTACTTATATTATCCCGTCCTACGAATAACTGCTTTTAGCTTGCACCTTTAGGTATCTACTATGAATAATACTATTAAAATACAAAGGCACAACAACACACTGATCTAACTTAGTATCACCACTTTTATCAAAATATTGCTAAAATAGATTTTAGAATAAATCTAGTGACTAAACAAAAAAATCGCTTTGCTACATTGGCATGTATATTAAAGAAATAATGAAATCTAATTTTAAAGATTTTAGACAAAATTTAGAAGTCCTATTAGTTACTCAAGAGATATGCGATTAGAAATTAAAATTTTATAACGTTCTATTTAGAATTAAAAACAATTTGTTGATATTCAGGGAAGCAAATCGCCGATGGAGCATGGCACTGTCAAGTATGGGGCACTCACAAGCGTCGGCGCAGAGCCTGCAATCTATTGCCGGAGCGGAAACTGAAAGGAAAATTTCTTTCGTCCTGCACGAGCCTGAAAACGTCTCCGGGGAAAGCAATGTTACCGTAATATATTTCTTTAGACTATTTTCTCAATCATTATCGATCTTAGATCTATCTGGATGGTGGAAAATCTATCCAAATATGCCTAACCCAAATACGAAAGATGGAGGAACCTATCCTATGAGGCCGCCCTCCACTAAATAGAGTTGACCGGGTGAAATAATACGAGTATTATAATTTTAAATTTGCACGATATTCTAAATTTTTGCCACAACTTTAGTAATTATTTTTATACGTGGTAGAGCCATGCTGCAGCTATATTAGTAATATAGTTGTAGCACGAATGGGTCGTCTCGACCGGGGAAGGACCACGCTCTCACAGAGTTAAATAGCAGCTTAATACTGCTGTGTTTCGTATGGTGAGTGTAGAGAAGCGGAGACCCTTTTTACTGGAAAAGAGGCATTCCATCTTAGTCCTCACGGGTGGCAACGCATCTGCATTTTGATTCGTAAACGAGGATAGATGTAGATGTCTATGGGCCACAGCAACCACTTACCATCAGGTGGATTGTGTGCTCGTTTGTCACCCTATCCTATAAAAAAATATTCTGATAACTAATTACATTTGCTACTGATAACATATGGGTTTGGGACATGGTCCTTAACTACTGGTCTTATGACGAAACTTAAGATTGCTTAGCGGGCCATGGGGAGGGTTATGCACGGGGTTTCTTTGCGTATTACGAGTAGACTTCGTAAGGACATCTGCAGTAGAACCAGACTAACCGACATGGCATAACGGATCAGTAAACTGATATGGTGAATGGCAATAAGCCGAAGATATAGCTCGAAGAAGCGACAACCGATGGGGAAGAAAGGTTCTCAAATGGCAATTTCGTACCGGTAAGCGATGCATGCGACCCACTAGATGGTGACAACTTGGCAAAAGTACAGCAAATCGATGGACGATGGATGCAGGTGGTTCACGACCGTGCTTTGTGGCATACCTTGGGAGAGGTCTATGTTTACCAATGGATATGTGAAGGGCCGTAATCAAAATGATGATGATAATAACCGACCTTTAAGCTGAGTTATAAAAGTCGATAAAATAAAATGTAATGAAAATTTCACGGCCACTTTTCAACGCAGTACGTAGTAAGTCTCACCATGTCTGCGAAACTCAAGTCGTGGATTCGCCCCCGCCATATGGCTGTTGAACTGCCGATTGACGGAAGTACTAGTAATGTCAATAGTGTAGCTAGTAAAAAATTTTAAATTAAAAGAAAATAAAAGAATAATCCGGCTTTTCTTTAAAATATGATAAAGTAATTAGCTTATGATGGATGGTGCTAGTAGTATATCTTTCCATATTATTCGTTGGTTACTTAATATTTGATCGTGTATATAAAGGGGAGATATTCTGGCGGGAAGGTATTCAACCTGGGGCTAAGGCTTCTTCTACTACGGATAACCTTTGTTTCATATATCTAATAACTCATTGAAATAGGCCATATTCAGTAGTGGACTATTGAATGAGATTAAAAATACTTTTCGACAGTTAGCGGACGCGATACCGAGTGCAATGGTGGATGAGAAGAAAGGCCGCCTGGGATCCCGCGGAAAGGGAATGCACCGGCGCAATACGCAACAGACGCACTCAGCGTACGGCTCCTTTAAACGGCGCTCCATCAAACTGCGACAGAAAGATACGCGCGAAGTAGAAGAGTGTACGCATTGAATAGCTATATTTTTTATCGCTAGGCATTTCTTCTACACAGTAGAGTTGTTTTCATCACATAATAATAATATATGAGTTTAAAAAAACTTAACACGCCTTGATCATGGGCTGTGATGATCCTGATAATTATTTTATTTCATCCTGGTGATTCTGATCAGAATACCTGAAATATTAAATTATTTTATTTTCATTGGTCCTTAATACGAGAAATAAATAAAAAAAATTAAGTCAATCGGGCGTCTACAAGTTGGTGAAATTGATAATTTTACTTAAATAATTATTTCTTTCAGTCATAACACGTAGATCGGATTCAATACAAAGTCGTAGAAAGGTTTCTTCGCTCTCCGATAGAAGCGACACATCTGAAATATTTCCTGGTACAGGTACGTAAGGTTATGCTCATTAACATATTAAGCAATATATTAATTTTCATACCACTCTATCACTTTTTTTCTATCAATTCTATTATTTTTATTTAATAAACTATAGGATTATTATTAAGGACTTATATATTAAGGCATGAATGCTGGGCAGAGGTCTATTCTCAGTATGATTTTATAAGAATTGAAAATAAAATGATATGGGCCAACATAATTTTAATAAGGATTTATTAATAAAACTATGATACAAAGTTGCATCATTTATTTAATACAGAAATATTTTTAATAAACCTATCACCATTAGTAGGTATCTATTCTTAAATTAAAAAAAAAAAACATGTATGACATTAACATATGTAAATTATTGCCATTAAAAACGGTGCGTTACCTTTTTGTACCACTTGAGTACAAGGCATATACATTGCAAGTTCTTTTTTTTTTTAAAAAGCGTTACCCCCACACTAGGATTTTCTCCTGTGTCGTGGAGGCAGTTTACAAACATAAATTGCACAAGGACAAACATCCAGACCCGGAATAATTATTTGTAGGCCATACAAATATTTGTTCCGTGCGGGATTCGAACCCGCGGCCCCCAGCGCAACAACTGATTGCTAAACCACTGCGCCACGGAGCCGTTTTTGGGAGTGTCCTTTATATTTTGATGTTCCTAAAATAAATAAAACAACAGTAAAATAATTAGCCTGTAAAGTTGAGGAAAAAATACAGTTATTCTTATTATATGCCAAACAAAAATATTGAGAAGAGAATGAATTATAACATAGTTATTTGTAATAACTAAGTGTAGAGAAAGGTTAACTGAAAGTTGAGTCTCCAAAAGCAACACTTGACGACCTGTGACTATCAATCCCTTGTCTAATGTTGACAAAACAGGTGGGTTTTCAGCAGGCCTATGCTGCTGTAAATTGTTTTTTTTTTTATATAAGAAATGTGTGAAAAGACGTTATGTTTGACGAATTATACCATTTATTAAATGTTTTCACTACTTAAGTGCTCATTTATGAAAGTTACAAAGAGTTTATTATGGCTTCACTACTAAATAAAACATGCCTATTGCTAAGAGTAACACAGCTAACTTCATGTGTGCCGGGTTGGTACCACGACCTCACATATTACCAGCGTGATGTAGAAGTTTACTTCTGCGTTTCGCTTGGTAAGTGCAGGTGGCTGGAGGCCCAATCCCCCCCTCCCCCCAATTAACCTAAACCTAAACTATAAATTATAATAAACCTAAACGCCGTCCACTACCATCTCAAGACGTCGAAGCTGGCCTTGCTCTTTCTGACCGAGACGTAGGTGTCTTCTCCCACTGATACTACGTACAAATTGGACCCGGGGTACAAATTGGAACACTCCTTTGTGCATCGGGCTGGAGTTTACATATACGTCAGAGAGGACATCTGTTCTCGACGCCTCGGCAGTATTGAAGGTTCGGACCTGTCCATCCTTTGGCTACGCGTAGACAGCGACGACCATCCTCACGTGTACGGATGCCTCTATAGGTCCCATAGCGGTAATGCCGAAAGAGACCTATTCATCGACCACGTCCAAATGGCTACAGATTCCTTGCTACAGCAGATCCCATCCGCAGAGATCGTAATCCTCGGCGATTTTAACGCCCACCACGACGAATGACTCAACTCACGTTTAACTGATCATGCGGGGAGATCTGTTCATGATTTTGCCTTGGCATATGATCTGACATAACTGGTTACTTCGCCTACTCGGATTCCAGATGTGGAGGACCTTCTCTGTCGGAGCTTCTGCTGACCCCTCACTGGACAGATATTAAGTCTCCGTAGACGCTCCTCTTGGCTTCCCGGACCATTGTCTAATCTGATGTGGGACTTCAGGGTATGAAACTTTTTATTCCTTCCTTTGTGGTGCCCATCGGAGGCAGATCTCAGCCATGGTTTAGTCGCTTCTGTAAAATAGCATCACGCTATAAGCAGGAGTGCTATCGGGCCTGGACTGACGCATCAGCATCCCGGTATGTAAACACCAGCGCCCTTAAAAAGAAGTATAATTCCGCTTCAAAAGAGTCCTTACCAAGGCAAAATCAGAGCACATAGGCAGAATTTGCGAGTTTTTCGCCTTTCTTCAGGAACCCGTGCATTCTGGTCTCTCACCAAGGCTCTCCAAGTGAATTTCTGTCAGCTATCTCAACCATCTCTGCACAGGGAGAACGACTCACTGCCTCATGCTGCAAAGGAGATAGTCGATCTGCTAGGCTCTTTCTATGCTTCCAACTCGACTCTCGATGAAGGGGGGAACACACCGCCGACCATCCCGCGGTGTAAGTGCTACATGCCGGATGTGCGATTCACACAGCGTTCGGTTCGCAAAGCTTGTGCTGAAGACGTGTGCTCCAGAGTTGGCAACGGTTCTAACGCGTCTTTTACGGTGCTCCTACTCCCTAGGAGTAGTCCCGAAACCATGGAAGACGACTTTCGTCCATTAGATCCCTAAAAAAGGCAACCGTTCAGACCCGTCTAACTACAGGCCTATCGCCATCACCTCCTTGTTCTCCAAAATAATGGAATCCTTTATAAACTAACAGCTCATGCAGTACCTTAAGGATCACCAGGTTATTAGTGACCGCCAATAAGGTTTTCGTCGGGCTCGATCAGTTGGTGATCTTCTGGTCTACCTGACTCATAGATGGGCGGTGGCAGTAGAGTCCAATGGGGAGGCATTGGCCGTTAGTTTGGACATTGCGAAGGCCTTTGATCGGGTTTTGCACAAAGTGCTTCCTTCGAAGCTCCCTTCCTATGGGCTTCCCGAGAAATTGTGCAATTGGATCACCAATTTCCTTGCTGATCGGAGCATCAAGATCGTTGTAGACGGTACTTGTTCCGATTACAAGCCTATTAACGCTGGTGTTCCTCAAGGTTACGTGCTATCACCAACGCTGTTTCTTCTGCATATCAATGATATGTTGCATACAGGTAACATTCATTGCTATGCAGATGATAGCACTGGTGATGTTCTATATACCGGGCGTGCAAATATTTCTCAGGAAAACGTCGCCGAGTACCGGAATAAATTGTGTCTGTTGAACTTGTTGAGTCTTTGCTGAACAAAGTCTCGGATTGGGGGTGACGAGATCTAGTCCAGTTTAATCCTCAGAAGACAAAAGTTTGCGCGTTTACCGCCAAAAAGAACCCCTTTGTCGTATCTCCTCAGTTTCAAGGCACTCCCCTTATTGGTTCAGCCAATATCGGAATCCTCGGCGTCGACACATCGAGTGCCGTGCAGTTTCGTGGTCACTTGGAAGAGTGACGCAGACTCTGCAGAGCGGGACAGTACATACATGCAACTATACAAGGCGCAGGTTCGACCTAACATGGAATACTGTTCCTATCTCTGGATTGGGACTCCCCAGTGCCACCTCCTTCCACTTGACCGCATCCAGCGCAGAACGGCTCGAATAGTCGACAATTAAGTCCTTTCCTATAGGCTCGATTCAATGGCGCTGCAAAGAGATGTTGTATCCCTTTGTATTTTATTTCGCATCTACCACGGGGAGTGGTCTGAGGAATTGTTCGGATTAATCCCAGCCGCCAAATTTCATGAATGCACATCGCGATAAAACTCCCGATCCCATCCATACCATCTAAATGCTTGACGGTCCACCACTGTACGTTTCACTAGGAGTTTTCTTTCGCATACGACTTCTCTGTGAAATAATTTACCACCGGCCATTTTTTCCGGACCGATACAACTTAGGGACCTTCAAGAAAATAGTTTACTCCTCTCTAAAAGGCTGGCAACGCACCTGCATTTCCCCTGGTGTTGCAGTTATTCATGGACGGCAGTAGTCACTTGCCATCAGGTGAGCTGTATGCTCGTTTACCCCCTCTCATAAAAAAGAAGCACAATTCCGATTTCAATCGAATGTTAAAAGCAAAATTGTTTTCGAGAGTATTGTAATTTGTCAACATTGAAATTACATTGGATTGGACTTGACATTGAATCGAAATTGTTATTGGATTCAAGAGTAAGCTTGCCGATCGTTTCAAACATAAATTGTCTTGCACATCTCTCACACATTTAACCTACGAATTTTATATTTTTTTGTGATGTTGATAACAGCTAACAGCCATGTTGGTGGTAAATGGTTATTGTATCCCATGAACATATAGTAATAACTTCAAAGAAGACAACTGCAGATGTCTGTCAGCTTTTTCTTATCGAGTACTAAGATTAAATATTTCATGGTCTATAATTATATACCGTCTACAGCTTGGCAGATGAAATATATAATTATATTATTAGCTTATCATTATAATCCATTGTTTGACATTAGCCTGTTCCGCTGTAGGGATTTGCCACAATCGGATTGGTGTGGTATCACATGTCTACATGGAAATAAATGGGATTATGGATTCTCTTATTCTTCCTTCTAGTAATCGTGTCGTGTACCGTAACCATTCAGTTTATAAACCCTTAGGCACAGTGATAATGCCTAACGAGATGGACAGCGGCGGCGAGGAGAGCCCCGGCGTGCTGTCGGATGAGCACGACCACCCGCCCGACAGCCCCGACAGCAACTCCACTGACCCCCCGGACAGCAGCAAGGGATTCCCTTGGCTCAAGGTGTGCCTTTACTGGTTTACATTATCAATAAAATAATATGATACCTTGTCAATTTATCGGTAACTATGTTTTATCGGATTTGAATATATACTGCAAAACTTACGGTATTTATCTCACGATGACGGTTTGATCTTTGTTGTACGTGTAATACATGCACATTATATTTTATAAATAAAGGTAAGTAAATGACAATACACTTAATAAAATTATTGTAAAATATATTTTGTTATTTCTGTATACAGGTTATGGTAAAATTTTTAAATTCCTTCAACTACGTGTGCTGCCATCAGAACTTTTGCCATCCCTATTGCTTCCGTCGAAATATGCGAGCTACCGTTCGACTCATGAAATCCGTACAAAAGGTCAGCAAAATTAATTTACAAATAACGTTAATACTAACAAAACCTGTTATGATAAAAAAATAAAGAAAAATTAAATTTAAAAGTAATCAATAAAAATTATAGGCCAAGGTAATAAAGACGTTTATTTCAGATTTACGGAGAAAAGTTCGGTCCGGAAATAAACACGCAGAGTTCTGAAGAGGGGTTGGGAGGAACGAGAAGGGGAAGACGAACACGCAAGCCCTCCGAGCATACCAGCGATAGGTTCGAACTGTACACGTAAACGATTACGGAATATATTCTCTCTCTCTCTCTCTTCTCTCTCTCACACACACACACACACGCACACATACATACATACACACATACACACACAAGCCCGCGGGCACATCCATCAACTGCATCCCTGTTTCATCAGGTATCAATCTGCCACTCGAGATCCTTTCTTCCCCATCGATTGTCGGTTCTTTGGACTATATAGCCAGCCCATTGCCACTTCAGCTTACTGATCCGCTGGGCTTTGTCGATCGATGCATACATATCAAACGTGGAATTATACGTATAACACGAGTATACCCTCGCTTTCTCAGGTTAATCCATTACTATAATTATCGAATATAATTGACAAAACTCAAGCCTGAGGAGCATTAGCAACTGCTTAAATTACCTTGGTGTCAATATATCTTCTAATATTTTAAATAATATTTATTCCAAAATTCAGCCAAATTTTCTGCATACGTTCAGTTATATGGAATGTACGCTTTTTTGTATACAGAGTATTATTGTTCTATGCCTGCATAAATTAATGTATGCCGTATAAATTATTTATTTTATAGGTATAAATTTCGCGTAACATTCATGTCTGTGTGTAGTTTAATAGCGGCGAATAAAGTTTGTTTCTTATTTCTTTCGTTCAAACAGAAGATTACAAGTGCGTTGTACTCTTTGAGGACTAAAAAAACGCCTTATCGCCAGTATGTATACGGGCTTTTATCTTGTAAAATGAAAACAATAACAGTTATCCTCGAATGAGAACCAAAATGCAACTGCATTGTCACCCCCGAGTACTGAGATAGAAAGAGTCGTTATCGGTGAAAAGGGTTTACGAATTACGATTCTCGTCGCTCATCTTACAAAGGAACTTATAAAACACTATGCTGCTATTTCACGCTGGTATTCTATTCGAACATGGTTCTTGCCCAGTCTAGCCAACCTAGTCTAGCCAATCGAGTAGGTTTTTTTTTATAGGATAGGGTGACAAACGAGCACACGGTCCACCTGATGGTAAGTGGTTACTGTGACCCATAGACATCTACATCTATCCTCAATAAAGACTCAAGATGCAGATGCGTTGTCACCCGTGAGGACTAAAATGGAATGCCTCTTTGCCAGTAAAAGGGGTCTCTGGTTCTCTACACTCACTATACAGCAGCGTTAAGCTGCTATTTTACGCTGGTTTTCTGTGAGAGCGTGGCCCTTCCCCGGTCGAGCCGACCCATTCGTGCTACAACTATACTATTAATATAGCTGCAGCATGGCTCTACCACGTAAAAAAATCGTACTGCACTGTACTCGTACTGCAGTTATAGGAACCATCGCCGTTTGTCATGTCAACCATTCTTGTTTATATAAATGTGTTGTCGTTGTCTTATTTGATGTGGTGTAATGGTATACCTGGGGAAAGGGAGGTGCTCTTAAATTAGGCAATACACATAATTTTATTGCATGTGGATAAAATTATTCAGCTTAAACACTTTACCAATTAATCACTTTTAAATGTAACCTTTTTTAATTTGATTATTATGTGATCATTTTCGATAAGCTACACCAAACTGTAATCATAAATTTCAGGATCGATCGGTCCATGATCGAGTCGGCAGGATTAGCCTATCGTGCGGCTGGCGTGGAGCACTCGCTGCCACACAGTGAGGCTCCACCCGACACGAAGCCGGGCACTATACCCTACCCACCCACCGAACCTCCCGCTATACTCAAGTACCTTAAAGGACAAGTAAGTTGTTTTGCTTTTTACTTTGATTTTAACTTTTTATTTTGGGCATGCAACTTGGGATCAAACACTGACGAATAAAACAGTTGGGGTCATGGCTATCTACGTCTGTCATGACTGGATAGGTAGAATAAGGGAACTTTTTTCCAAATGTAAATCTCAAATACGTACAGTATTCTCGTACATAGGGTTGCCATCTCCTAAAATGAAAAAGCCGGACTCGGCGCTCCAAAAAGCCAGACTTTTATAGCCCTAGAAGCCGAACAGTAATTTTTAGAAAGTCAAACATACCTTTCTGAGGCCATGGAGCCAAAAAACTCACCAACTCCAACCTCCCGAGAAAAAAAACTAAAATACTTCGTTACGTAAGTTAATTGTTTATTAATCAATCACAGCACAGTTTCAAGTGTTACTTGTGATATTATACTGTGGGATGTGTGCAACACGTTACACTAACAAAAAGCCGGACAGGCCGGATACATTTTAGCCGGACACAACCCGAAAAAGCCAAACATGTCCGGCTAAAGCCGGACAGATGGCAACCCTACTCGTACTGTACTCTGCTTAGTATCAAGCGAGGCTCCAGCAACCAACTTATGACAGAAAATTCGTCCAAATTCACTATATTCGAATTCAGTTTCATTTATTTTTATTTTCTATTAGAGTACGGTGTATTGTAAGAAAACATTTGCCTCTGCTGGTCTAAAAGATCTGCAGTCCTAAAAGATCTTTAGTGTCAAGCAATTAATTCAAAAGACTAAAACAATGAACGACTTAACATCGTAACAAAAAACATGTTTTGTAACGTTTAGGTTCGTGATGCATATCACATGCCACTGGCAACACTGATCAAAGGCGCCACAACGATGAGCGAGGATATGTTCGCTGAGGTAGCACCGGTGGCGTGGAAGTTGCTGTTGGAGGCGGATCGCGAGCTGAGTGCGTGCGCAGCCGCCACGTTCATCCTGGCGGCCGTGCGGGCGCCGCACGCCGCCTCGCACATGATGCACTCCGACCTCAAGCACGCGGACCCGGCGGTTAGGTACGTACCACACTGAGAGCGGACCGAGTCAACTGCTCGACTGCAAGTAGCGCGGCCGCCACGTTCATCCTGGCGGCCGTGCGGGCGCCGCACGCCGCCTCGCACATGATGCACTCCGACCTCAAGCACGCGGACCCGGCGGTTAGGTACGTACCACACTGAGAGCGGACCGAGTCAACTGCTCGACTGCAAGTAGCGCGGCCGCCACGTTCATCCTGGCGGCCGTGCGGGCGCCGCACGCCGCCTCGCACATGATGCACTCCGACCTCAAGCACGCGGACCCGGCGGTTAGGTACGTACCACACTGAGAGCGGACCGAGTCAACTGCTCGACTGCAAGTAGCGCGGCCGCCACGTTCATCCTGGCGGCCGTGCGGGCGCCGCACGCCGCCTCGCACATGATGCACTCCGACCTCAAGCACGCGGACCCGGCGGTTAGGTACGTACCACACTGAGAGCGGACCGAGTCAACTGCTCGACTGCAAGTAGCGCGGCCGCCACGTTCATCCTGGCGGCCGTGCGGGCGCCGCACGCCGCCTCGCACATGATGCACTCCGACCTCAAGCACGCGGACCCGGCGGTTAGGTACGTACCACACTGAGAGCGGACCGAGTCAACTGCTCGACTGCAAGTAGCGCGGCCGCCACGTTCATCCTGGCGGCCGTGCGGGCGCCGCACGCCGCCTCGCACATGATGCACTCCGACCTCAAGCACGCGGACCCGGCGGTTAGGTACGTACCACACTGAGAGCGGACCGAGTCAACTGCTCGACTGCAAGTAGCGCGGCCGCCACGTTCATCCTGGCGGCCGTGCGGGCGCCGCACGCCGCCTCGCACATGATGCACTCCGACCTCAAGCACGCGGACCCGGCGGTTAGGTACGTACCACACTGAGAGCGGACCGAGTCAACTGCTCGACTGCAAGTAGCGCGGCCGCCACGTTCATCCTGGCGGCCGTGCGGGCGCCGCACGCCGCCTCGCACATGATGCACTCCGACCTCAAGCACGCGGACCCGGCGGTTAGGTACGTACCACACTGAGAGCGGACCGAGTCAACTGCTCGACTGCAAGTAGCGCGGCCGCCACGTTCATCCTGGCGGCCGTGCGGGCGCCGCACGCCGCCTCGCACATGATGCACTCCGACCTCAAGCACGCGGACCCGGCGGTTAGGTACGTACCACACTGAGAGCGGACCGAGTCAACTGCTCGACTGCAAGTAGCGCGGCCGCCACGTTCATCCTGGCGGCCGTGCGGGCGCCGCACGCCGCCTCGCACATGATGCACTCCGACCTCAAGCATTACCCGTGTAGTGGCGGTATAATAATATCCACTATCCTATATCATCCCGTGGGTTTCGTTAGAGGCGACAGAGGAAAACTGAACTAGGAGATGGGCATCAGTGATAACAACTATTTAAAAATAAAACAATCTGCGGTGCAAACCGCTTGCCAAGCAACTAATGCAAATAAAATATAAAAGAGGTCCAGCAGTCGACTTTTTATGTACTGTAATGGTAATCTAATCTAAGAAATAATTTAATATTAACGAAAACTCATGTGACTATTACAGAATCAATGCGATTTTGCGTTTCCAAGTAATGTGGAAATTGCGCTATCAAGTTTGGCCGCGTATGGAGGAAGGTGCATCTGTGACGTTCAAAGTACCTCCCCCGGGCATTGAATTCACTCTTCCTTCGCCAAAGATCGGTATCGAATCATTGGCCGTCGTGGACCCGCCTTGGAGCCCACAGGTCAAGGATAAAGATATGGAAATGACGCTCAATCAGGAGCGGCACGTAAGTAACTTTTAATTAAAACTTTTTTTGTAAGTTGTAAAAGTACAAAGTATTAATGTGTTGTAATAATGTGACCCCTTGGTTACATAGTGCAACACTAGCCACCGGCGGACCGAAGGGGAGTAAGCATAGCGTTTTTCACCTGTACAGAACTGTCTGTCATTTTTTGCGGAGGGAAATTTGCTCATACAAAAACAATTAATAAAAAAAAAACCTTAGGTTCATCTATTTATTAGGAGACATATTAACGGCGAAATACAAAACCAATAAATACTATATTCTTATAGGAACGCATTGAACAGTGTGCTTTTGCCCTTGCGGATATGCATAACACTCATCACATACATCTTTCACATCACTTTGATATCATTAGCTTCAATTAGATTAACTCCATCCGCCAATAATAAATAAATTAACATAATGATTTCTTATATTTACGCGAACCAAAAAACCAAAAATTAATATTAAAAAACTGAAGGTAACCGGGCTAACTATGACAGCAGGACGTCAAACACCTCAGTCCCCCGTGACCACGGGTGCTGGAAAGCACCCGAAACCTCGGGAATATAAAAATAAGTTAATATACGCGATAAAATCCGTAAAATTAGTTTTATTTAAAAATAAATTAACACTTATATAAATTATATTTTTAATTTTCACAAATGAACATTCATTGCACATCAGCCATTTTCTATTTTTGGATATGTGCAGGTAAATAATAAAATAACGAATTTAATGAAAGCGGGTAGCGTGACTTTGTCAAGAATGGACAGTAAATCCCAACCTCTCTCGCTTCGCGTTCGAGGTGTGTCATAAGTTAACGTAGCTTTATAGTTTTCCCCAGTTATTTTCTCACAATATTGGTAGACCAATAATCTTTAGGAAATTTGATATGCAGAGTATATTTACTTTAAATGAATATTTAAAATCATTATTTATATGTATTTGTCATCAGCGTTCATTAGTGACTGCCACAAAGACCCGCAAGAAACAACAAACAGAGGCCATTAAACGAGCACTGCAGCAGCGCAACGACAAGAAGAAAGCGGAACGAGAGAGCTTCCTCATTACCACTATACCCATAACGAGGCAGGCGGCTCGTGAACCAGCACTAGATCATGCAGCCGATGATCATATTGAACGTGAGTTAATATATATCACCCTTTATACATATAAAACAATGGAGCTGAATGTACCTATGTGATTTTTTTGTTTTGTTATTATTTTTTCTGTTGTATGATTGCTTGTTTGTGGAATATTGGGATAAAAATTTACGAAATTTTTTAAATTTAATTGAACTGATAATACGTGTAATTTTTTATTATAGCTTAGTAGTATTTCGAATAAAAAAATAAATTTTACGCAGTTGTTTTTAACACTAGATCAAAATCTATAACGAATTTGTTGGATCTATTTAGGACATTTAGAATTATTTACCTTGTTTATTTTACCCACACTTCACACTTTGCTACAACCTGCGAGCAGAAGGTTTGCCGATAACGTCATGACATCACGCACCGATCGCGAATCGTTATGCTATCCGTAGCAGACAAGCGTGTGACACCGTTGGCAGAAGTTGGAGAAGTGAGCAAGCAAAAATTCCACGTATTGCTTATAATATATGTACCTAATAGGCATTTTGTGCTGTTCGCAATAATATAATACCAAATAAATGTTTTAATGTTTCGTGCTTAAATAACAGAACTTTATACTTAAAGGCAGATGACGAAGTTTGTCTATGCCTATACAAGGATTTTCTATTTTAATTTTGAGATCCTGGGCGTCATGTTAATCCATTTTTCCCAAATTCAGATATGAAAAAATTAGGTAATTGTATAGGTTCAAATGGAAGCTTATTGAATAACGAAATTTGCAAATACATTTTAGATGTAAAATAAAGTTAATTTGCTAATATCCGCATGTAAAAGATAAAATTGTGTTAAGCTGTTAGCTAGTTTAACAGTTTAGTGGCAAAATAAGAGAATTCATCATTCCAGTTCGTCCCGCGGGGGGCGTAAGAGGCGACTATGGAAAATGACACAAAAATCTAGTGCCTTCCGATAGATGGCGTTATAACCATCTTGCTTACGCCAGACGTAAAATACCCAGATCGGCGACGGGCAGCAACGTCAAAGGTGCGAGATGTCTGGTACTGCGATCTTCAAAATGCCTGCTAAACTTGATGAGTAAGGGAAATCCTCTCCCATACAGGCCGATGAGCAAGAAGTAAATTACCTATTCTTAAAAGTATCACCATCCCTGCCGCAAGTACGCGTACTATTGCTGCAAACATCAATTGCACATAAATTACCGTCGCCACCTCAACGTTAATACTTTGTAATGCAAACAAACTTGAAAATGCGACGCGTGTTTCGGCTTGCAACCGGCTATCATCAAGTTAATACACTCTAAAATAGAACCGCCGGTTCCTTGATGAGTTAAAGCGTCCTATGATTAAGATGAACTTGCTATTTTTTGCAAACGCTAATTACGTTCGTTTCTAATTTATATGTACAACTATCAAATGAGTAGGTTTTTTTTTAAACACGCTTAAAGCTTAGAGCTGTTTTTCATGGTTGTAATTAAAAGAATTTAACGGCGTTTTTGATATGTTATAGTCGTGCAGCTTAGTGTGTCTGTCTATCTACATTTTTTGGGAGATATGAAACAAGCCCTCCGATTGTGATAAAAATCTCAAGTTGTTTTGTCTGCTTCGGCGCTCTGAGATACTATTGTCGTCGATAACCTGTGGTGTTAACCTTACTTACTTACTTATCTTCACGCACAATCCCTGACGGGGTAGCCAGAGAGAACAGATCGCCAAGTGTCACGATCCTTACATATCTCTTTCGCTTCTTTCAGATTCATTATCTTCTTCATACATGCACGTCTAGGTATCCGAGTACTCTTGACCCTACTACTTGGTGTTTACCTGTCGCTAAAATTTACCAAAAGAAATCGCAATGTACGAACATCTTGTAAGGAATTTTGTCTTAAGTTTGGTTTAAGACGTAAAAGGCGACAGAGGAAAACAAACCGGGTGAAACCACACCATAGACAAGATTGCCTTTGTTCAACAGTGGACTTTTATAGGCTGTAATGGAAGAAAAAAAAAATAGTTTTATGAAGATTTATTGCAATAAGTTGACATTGGCAATAGGACGTGTCGTACGAGTCGTAGCCAAAGAATAGAAGCGAGTTTGAAGGTTCGGTTTGCGGTGCAGCGTCCGCGGACGAGGAGCCGGCGGAGGGCGTGCGCGCGCACCACGCGCAGGTGGCTGCGGCGCTGTTCCCGTCGGCGCTGTGCTCCGCCGTCGCCGAGATCGTGGCGCTGCTGGACGACGCCGCTGTCTCCCGCGACGGCTGCTCCGTCTACGAACTTGCCTATCAGGTCTCGCACCAATATCCTATACAACAGGGAAACCTTGCCGTAATTTACACGCTTTTCTAGGCGCCAGGACTCCTGCTAGGTGTCCGTCTGAGTAGGTAACATCATTCATTTCAACAGCATTGTGTTCCGGGCTGAAGAGTGTAGAGGGAAATTCCGTCGTAGGCTTTCCATCTGGTGGACTGTACGTTCATTTGTCACTTCAGTTTTATAAATAAAAACATGACGGGATCACGATCACATCGAATTTTTGTATCTTTAACGCTGCTTCCGTCACCCCCTGGATATTACAAATCCGACATATAACATTGAGTTATATGTACTACGTACTAGAAAAGCCATTCCGAACATTGACTATGTTCAACTGAACTATAGTGCAATCCATACAAACTAAATTTTGCGTAAATTGAAGATTTGTGAATTCCATAAAATAATTATTATTACATTTTATTTAGAAATATGTTTGTTTAGATTAAATTAAGATATTTTATATTAAATCCTTATATTAATTTTATATTTATATCTTATTTTAAATCAAATTAAAGTCTTCGCGCATGCGCGACTACTACTCCCACACATGCGCGAATACGAGTACATAGAGTAGGACACAATTTTTGTTTGGAATGGCTTCTCTAGTACGTAGTATATATAACTCAATGACATATAATGAATTGGTTATTCCTCAATCTGTCATATAATATGTATTTATTAACAACATACGAGATTAAATAGGATTATACTTTTTCTTGCAACCCCATCTCACTTGTTGACCTGAATTCTTACTAATCCCTTACACATGATGAAAATAAAATATGCCAGCTTTTTCTCCAAGTATTAATCTCACTGCATACAATCTATTCAGTTTCAGCCGACAGACGAAACTCTGACGACCGATTTATGGGAGAAAATCCATAAAAAAAGGGGAAACAAAATTTCACAATCTGGTAATGAGGGTGAATGTGGCTAGAGTTTCATGTATCGGCTCCGCGCACTCCTGGCCAGTGCAATCAATATACAAAATTATTATAACGTCCATAAATATACCCATTACAGATCTCTGTCTTATCAAGTATTACTTGCTTATAAAGAGCTGTAATGATGGTGAATGATTGCCAAATTGTATATTTTTAAGAAAAGTGTCCTGCAGTAGGTTTACAAAAAATGTTGATATGATTTTTTTTAAATAACAATACTAAAGAATAACAATACCTTATTCAGTGCATTTGGGGATGCCTCGTAGAAGACTCGGCATTGTTCCTTCGCCACGTGCTAGAACGCCTCACTCGAGATCATCAGGACGAAATGTTTAAGTTGCTGCGTCACCTCATACGCTTCATTCCTCGCTTGCCGCAACAAGCAGCATTTGCTCTATACAACTATATCATTGGCTACGTCATGTTCTACGTGCGAACACCTCACGAAGACGGACAGAGGCTAATTGGAGCAGCTTTATCTATATTATGGATGGTGAGTTATTCCAAATTAGAAGATGAACGTAAAACTGCATACTATAAACCTAAAATTTGAAGACCAATTTAAAGAAAGAATCACTGGACAAAGTTATCGCTCAAAATAATGATTCTCGTGTTCTTCACACAGTGGTGAACAAATAACAAGTCGATTGTTTTTTTTAGGTGGTTCATAGCGTACATGGAATTATGTTCAAAGATCTTAAACAGATACTACGTAAAGAACAATGTGATGCATCAATTTTACTCACAGCTAATGTGCCCGCTGCAAAGAAAATTATCGTGCATGGACCATGTAAGTATCAAACTTCGTTTGGATTATTAAATAAAACTTTTATCATTTTATAACAATTAATTAAAATTTTAGCTGATAACGAAGGCAGCATACCGTCACAATTCCCAGTCCAAGAAGACACGCAGTTTTGCCAGATTTTAAGAGAATCACTTGATTTCTTTAGTATTCCAGAGCGTTTGCACGATGAGTACTTCTTAGTTGACTTCAAAACTCGTAAGTTCATATACTATTGTTAGATTGTATAATATGATCTCTGTATATTATACTATGTGCCTATAGTAAATTCTGGGAGAGGGGGGGGGGGGGGCGATAACTTGTAATACGGGTCTTTGAACCTACACGGGCACCAGTCTCCCACGAGTTTTCGCATAAATATAAGAAATGTTTATAAAATTAGAGTTGGATTTTTTGATCCTTCGAGCCGCACACACAGCTAGCTGTTCGATAATATTAAAGTATGGTCTGATCGACGAGAGTTGATAAATAAGTAGAATTCCTAAACTCATTACGAATTTCGTCGAGTTAATTATTTTTGCTGATAGTGATAAAGCCGCCTCGTCGGCTCCACGCATCTCGACATCAGCTGCGAGCCTCATACTACAACACTCTGTGCTTGCGGCGAGTACGCCCGTCCAACATAATATTACGAAACTTAAGCGACAGTTGCAATTGCAAGACGTTTTCATAATATTTATGAACTCTCCTCGAATACTTCAGTTGCAAGTAATTTTTACTCTTATTACTATATCTCGTATCCTTAAAATAAGTCCAATTTTAAATATATATTGGTAGACATAATTTGGTAGACAGATAGGTCTTAAGATGAAAGTCATGTGTCACACCTATGCCGGTAGTTGTTGGGAGCACTAAGCTCGAAGTTGTTGACGAGTATGTTTACCTGGGACAAATAGTCCGACTAGGTAAGTCCAACTTCGTCCGAGAGGTCAATCAACGGAATGAATCCGGCTGGGCAGCTACGACACATCTTTTCGTCAGGAATACCTCAAAACTTCTAAACAAGATTGTACAACCAGTGCGTGTTGCCGGTGATGACCTATGGATCTGAGATGTGGTCATTCACTGCTGGCCGTATGAGGAAGCTCATGTTCGCTCAACGAGCTATAGAGATCGCTGTGCTCGGGGTTTATCTGGATGATTGACTTAAAAACGAGGATATCCGCAGTAGTTACAGTCATAGCCCGACGGATTAGTAAGCTGAAGTGGCAATGGGCCGGTCATATAACTCGAAGTACCGACAACCGACGTGGAAGAAAGGTTCTCGAGTGGAAGCCACGTACCAACATGAGAAGTGTAGGGCCTCCCCCCACTAGATGAAGTGACGACTTGGTAAGACTTGGCAGGTAGGATGCCGGCAGGTAGGTGGCTTAGGACCGTGCTTTGTGGCATTCCCTGGGGGAGGCTTATATTCAGTAGTGTACTTGTGAAGGGATTTAATGATGAGACATAATTTTAAAATGTGATACATTATTTTATCTTCAATATTTTCCTTTTAGGTCAAATCCACAATCCTCAAAGCTACGTACGAGACCATTATTTCTTTAAACGTTCCCAGTACCCGCAATTAGGACTGGTTCACATGGAACCCGAAGAAGCTTTTCATAAATTACAACAACAGGAATTGCTGCAGAAATTTGTGGAGATCGGCAAAGTACTACTTACTTGGGCAATACTTAAAAATGTGGACATGGTACGTCGTATTGTTTTTATAAACCTTAGTATAACAATTAATTTCAATGTGTTCGAAAATGCTCAGGAATATTTATAGTAATATTTAAAAGAAAGATAATATCTGGGGGCACGGTAGTGCCTCCGCCAAGTCGAGTAAAAAAGCGGCACGGCCGTACCATCCTCTTCTCGAAGCAGTTTAGGCCATTTTCGAAACCCTATAACTTCGTTGTGGATAAAACTAGAAGCCTGAATTTTCACTAACAAAGTAGGCATTGTATAAACTCGGTATATTTCATTTATTTTAAATAGTTGACAATAATTATAGCGTCTAGAAATAAGTTATATATAAAATGAGTTTTATTATTTTTCTATGATTTTTCAAATAAAAATGTATATTAATTAAAGCCACAAAAAAAAACAAACATTGTTGGGAATATCAAATGACTTAAATCATTTTAATCTATTCAAATGTTGCCATTTAGTATATTCATACTATTTTCGTATACACTTTGTAGGACTACCAACACAACACACAAAATATTTTTAAATTAAGTTATTATTAGTAATAACTGTACTATCAGTAATAATAAAAATAAAAGTGATATAGCTGAGAATAAGTCTCTTACAAGGAATTTCCTACAATAATACATTATCTCAATCATAGTACTATGTAACAATTCCATTTAATGTTATGCCAACACTAGCTAAAATAAAATGTCACTGTTTTTTTTTACTGGCTTTAGGGCTCTGGGTTCTAGCCTTTCTGAGAATGTCACTATGATACAAAGGCCCTGGAGCCATGCCAGAAATATACATTTATAGTATGCAAATATATAATAGAGATACAATAATCTAAAAACTCTCAATTATGTATTATGTATTAAGCTTACATCAAACAACCACAGGAAGCATGACTTTTTCCAAGTGACATAGGACATAACCTAAAAAGGTTCAAATGTAAATATCTTTTTTTTGACGCCTTCTCAGGACAAAATTCTTTGACAGAGTTATTAAGGGACTGACACCTAACATTTTAAGATATTTTTGGTATATAGACGCTACCATTTCTTCTCAACTAATTTTATACATGAAAGTCTGCCATTATTCTTTCATTAAATTTGAACTTGTAGTTTAAAAATTATAACTAGTCAAAGTTTCTTAATTTTGTCACTCATTGACAAAAGTACTCGGATACTTAGACGTGCATGCATGAAGAAGATAATGAATCTGAAAGAAGCGAAAGAGGTTTGTAAGGATCGTGACACTTGGCGATCTGTTCTCTCTGGCTACCCCGTCAGGGATTGTGCGTGAAGATAAGAAGAAGAAAAAAAAATTGACTGACTGATCATCAAAACTCTAAGGCACTTCTAGCAGACATAGAAGCTTCAAATTTGGAATACAATTATTCTTTAATATATAAATTAAGGAAAAATTAAAATATTTTGCAATTTCGGTCCAGTTTTCGAGATACACCAACTGCATAAATAACTATGTAATCCCATATAAATGTATAGGATTACAAAGTTATATTTGCAGTGAATGAATCAGTGTACCTATATATTATGTATAATATAATGGAATAATAGGTGTAGATAGATATGTAGATGTAACTATATACAAAAAGAAATGAGATGCAATCAAAAACATAACTTTTAAAAATAGCTAAGTCTTGCAACTCAGTTCTTCTACCGTAAAAAGTTGTGAGATCCATGTAATACCAAGTCGGTTAATTTACTCAGTCCCTACTTAAGGGTCCTTCTGTCTTAACTTATTACGTAATTAGTTTACTTAAGACATCTTACAATGACTATATCAATATTTAAAATCTTTTATGTTTTAAATAAATAGATTGACTTGGCAATCGCACTTTTTACGGTAGAAGAACTGAGTTGCGAGACTTGACTTTTTTTTCAAGTTATGTTTTTGATGGCATGTAGATTTTAGGAAAGCTCCGTAGCGGAGTGGCTAAACGTTTGGTTGCGGAGCTGAGCTGCATAATAAAGGGAAATATTTTTGATCTCCAGAACAACTATTTAAAAGCCATACAATATATCTTCTAATATTATTTTTATACTAGAGACCCGACCCGGCTTAGTCTGCATAGGATTTATTAATGTGGTGTTATTTAGATTTAAGATAAGCGAAGACCGTTTATTTTGTCAATTTTTCTTTTTTTTTTACAAAATTTACAATGTTTTCGGATAAAATATAACCCAGATTGGAATATGGCATTGCTTGTATTCGTAAAGTTTCATCTCAATCGGTTCAGCTATTCCGAAGATTAGCCTTAACAGACAGACAGAATGTTTTTTTTTATATAAATAGTTATTTATGTCTTAGTAGCGTGCAAATAATCTCCTGCGCTTATTAAAAGCCACTTTTATTAATATTAGAGACAGATTCTTCAATTTAATTTATTTATTTTATTTGTTAACACTTTTTGTACTAAATGTATAAACTAGCGGACTAATGCCATAATATGGCATTTTTTATCAGCCATCGGTAGCTCCACCTTACTTTTTATGAACTACCTCGTCATGATTATTAAAGCTTTTTGATTATTAAATTATTGTATAATTTAAAACAAATTTAAACTGTAATTTCTAGGATTCTTACCATTGCAAGGCATTAGTAACGTTGAGATATGTGCGTCTTCTAGGTGGTTCAAAGAGTTGTATTTCTACACGACGAGCTAATGAAACTGCCATCGTTCCCTCGCAAGGCTTTGGAAGCTGACCTGGATTTATACAGTCGAGGAGAACTGGGCCCCACGCTCCTTGGACTTGACGTATTACATAAATTCATGTAAGTCAAAAGTACCCACTACCCATTAAAATTTCACTTACCCTTATATTCATGTTCTAACATAAATCCATTATAAAAGTATTTTAAAATCTTCTGGACGTACATAATATTATATCGTTGTCTTTGCTGATAACTCCGCATAATATGACAATAGAGAGGCCAATTGTATTCTGGTAATTTTTGGAATACGAGTAGTTCTCAAGAACAAAACATTTTACATACAAAATCAATCATTAATCATACTTTGGTACTCAAATCGCTACCATATAACTGCAATTTCCGTACATGCTTCTTATTACAGGTGGGTTCGCCTTATAGCTCGAATGTTCGAGGCCATGGCAGGTAACTTCACGTCTTCAAGAGACATTCACTTGTTCCTCAACGTTCTCAATGGCGCGTTGATGCTCCACAGTGAGGACTCGCTGATACTCCGATATGTGATCGCTACCTATGTTAACGCCGCGTTCAATTTTAAAAGCATATTTTCTACTAATGGGTAAGAGTTACATTTTTAATTTATTATTAAATTATTTTAAATATAACATATTAATATAATTGAATTAATAGGTCACATTAAAGTATTATTCACGAAGATTTTAATATTTTAAATTAATTACATTTTTCATCGCTTTGTATGACATTGAAATTTAATTATTGTATATGCTATCGTTATTACCACAATCTTTATATATAAAAATTACGTGTCACATTGTTTGTCCGCGATGAACTCCGAAAGCACTAACCGATTTTAATGAAATTTTATAAATGTTTATTGCTTGCTCCAGCTTGAGAGATAGGATAGCTTTTATCCCGATAAGTGGCCCTCAATATTTTTTATTGCAAATTTAAATTTTTTTTAAAGGATCGTTGGAAAGGGCAAATCAAAGTCTGTTTGGCCAGTTGGTTTTATATAAAAATTAATTATAGATTTGATGCACTTCTTTTATTTTAATAGTTTTTATAGTTTTCGATTTTCATATTTCAGATACCTCTTAATTATGCCAACGTTACTACAAATATATTCAAACTTCCAAACAAATAAGCTGGTTACAACCACAATAGAATACGCAGTTAAACAATTCTACCTTTTAAATAGGAAACCGTTTATTTTACAAATGTTTGGCTCAGTGTCTGCTATTCTAGATACAGACGAAGAAGCGGTGTACGGCGATGCGAGCAAAGTAAGTAATAATTCTGAATTTGTTAGTTTATTATCATTTTCATCCTCAATTTAAAGAGGAAAAGCAAACTCTTTAATCGCTTTTAGTTCAAGTATTTAATTTTAAACAAACAAATAAGCTGACATTTTATTAGTTCAGTAACATTACATTCTGCCAAATTTGTCATGAATATCAAAATTTGATTAAAATTTGTAGTATTAATATCGTCAAACCGAAAAAAAAAATGGATGCAATGCTACTTAGCGGCAGAAATATCTATGTGATGGTTGTGAGGGGTAGTTGCGATGAAAGTTAATTTAAAATTAAAAATTTTGTACAGCCCACTTCAACATAAGTTATTAAGAATAACTCAAATAACTCAAAAACTATTGGTCTGACCTTGATAAAATTCATATGGGACCACACGAGAAGTATCAGCTTTGATATAAAAAAAGAATCATCGAAATCGGTCCACCCAGTAAAAAGTTATGAGGTAACACACATAAAAAAAACATACGCGTCGAATTGAGTACCGTCTCCTTTTTGGAAGTCGGCAAAAAATAAAATCTATTACATCACATCGTTACGTATATAAAAGTAAAATATTTCGAGGAAACCTACATTTATGATTAATTAAAAAAAAATATTTAATTGAAAAACCGTTCGCACTGAAGCAGCGTGGTACTCTTTCTTGCTCCATAACCCTCTTAGAAAAGTAAGGTGGTTTTTTTCAGGAAGTAGGATGTATGCATGGAGACGGTAGGACTTTACATTTACTTACTTACTTACTTAAGGTTTCATGACTAGGTCCAATCCAGTTGCCTCTTCAACTTGCTACTAAGCCTGGAAACTCCATCCCCCGACCCACTGCACATAGCTGAGCTAATTAAGGAAGAGAAGCCGCTGAAGCCGATTGACTTTTGCTACCGTGACGAGGACGAAATGGTCGACGTGTTGGATTGCATCAGCCTATGTGTAATGGTGGTGTCATACTCAGCTGAGAGCATGCGCGGTTATCAGATGCTTGTGAGTAACCTTCATTATGTTAACGTGAATACGTTGTATGACGTCACCATAAAGGACAATTGCATCATACATTGCAATAACAGTTTTTCTTCATAGAATATGGGTGACAAACGAGCACACAGTCCACCTGATGGTAAGTGGATGCTGTGGCCCGTACACATCTACATTTATCCTCGATTGAACTAAGGACTTAGACGGAATGCCTCGTTTCCAGTAAAAAGGGTCTCCGGTTCTTTACACTCACCATATGAAACACGGCAGCATTAAGCTGGTATTCTGTGAGAGCGTGGTTCTACCCCGGTCATGCCGTCCCATTCGTGCTACAACCATAATATAGCTGCACCATGTCTCTACCACGCTCAGTCTTTTTACCTACACTAAATTATGTACTCTTGGTCTTTACTTATTACTCTTAGTTTTATTTTAATTCTAAGTACAAATAACTGACTAAAATTAATCAATTGCATACGAATTTGCAGATAATATTGGAGGCCATACTTCCATGTTACGTGAAACAAATACAGCTACCTACTTACAACAAAGAAGGTAAAACTGAAAAGGAGATCATACAGCAGTTGGCCATAGCGATAAAAACACTTGTTAATAACTGCGAGGGTTTGTCGAAGTAAGTCTGAATCTTCTTTTCGTTAACAATTAGTTCATTTTGCTAATTTTGTATATTTGAAATTTATATTACTGTATTTACTGCCCTTACAAACTTTGTTCCTCCAAAAATCCTCCTTGGATTTTCACTCCAAATTTACACCGAACTTTTTACAGTGTAAATAAATTAAAGAAATTTATTAAGAACTGCCACAGCACCTCCTGGTGGCATGACAAGGTGGCTCACATTTTGTGATTTTTTATGGTATTAAACCTGCTTTGGTTTAATTGTATATTGGTAGTAATTATTGTGAATATGAGTGACTTTAGTACATAAATATACCGTCAAAAACATAACTTGTAAAAAAAACCTCATGAAAACACAATGTATCTCACAAGTAATACATATTATATTAAATAAGATTGTTTAGTGCGATTGCCAAGTCAATCTATTTATTTAAAACAAAAGATTTTTAATATTGATATGGTCACTAAAAGGTGTGGTTAGGTTAGCTAATTACGTAATAACTTAAGACAGAAGGACCCTTAAGAATGGACTGAATAAATTAACCGACTTGGTATTACATGGATTTCACAACTTTCTACGGTAGAAAAACTGAGTTGCGAGACTTGGTTTTTTTTTACAAGTTATGTTTCTGACGGTATCTCATTTCTTTTTGTAGATTGTTATATCTAGGTACCTATCTACACCTATTATTCCATTATATTATACATATACAGGTACACTGATTTATTCACTGCAAATGTAACTTTGTAATCCTATATATTTGTATGGGATTACAAAGTTAATTATGCATTAATTATGTATCTAGAAAACTGGACCAAAATTGCAAAATATTTTAATTTTTCCTTGATTTGTACACTAAACACTAATTGAATTCTAAATTTGAAGCTTCTATGTCTGCTAGAAGTGCTTTAGAGTTTTGATGATCGGTCAGTCAGTGAGTAACAAAATTAAGAAACTTTGACTAGTTATAATTCTTAAACTACTGGTTCAAATTGAATGAAATTTGAAATATACCGTGTCTATACAATGCCTGCTTGGTTACTGAATTCAGGCTTCTAGTTTTATCCACAACGAAGTTATAGGGGGTCGAAAATGGTCTGAACTGCTTCGAGAAAAGGATGGTACGGCCGTGCCTCTTTTTTGCTCGACTTGGCGGGGACACTGCCGTCCCAGATTAAATATAGAATTTGTTCACTTAACTACAGCACGAGCTATCGGATTTTAGCATAGCTATGAATCATCGCTTCTACAAAACAAATATATTGTATGACATATTCATAATACCATAATTGTTTAATTTCAATTGTTCGTTCAGAAGTTATACGATCACTAACAGACGCATCAACGATTTTATTATTTATTATTGTAAGTATAGTAAAAAGTGATATTGTCCGATGGACTCCTCGAGGCAGGAATTATCAATAATATTAGCAAAATCGAAGCATGTTTTTTTAATTATTTGCCTTTGGTGGTGGCATAACAAGGTCCACTAAACCATTGTGTCACATAAACGTTATTTAAATCGATAAGGCAAATCTTACAAAACATATAACAGTGATCTCTGAATAAAAATGAAAAGGGAAGAATAAGTTCATTCAATACCAGCACACATTTTTCGAACTGTATCCAATAAAACACCGTAAGGCTGGCTACTTTGCGCCTGTGCACGGGACTGTTAAGATTGCTATTGCTAAGGGTCGTTTGAGTTATAAATCGCATGGTGCACAGATCGTACAACGGGCCGTACCGCACGTCGCCGGAGCACAAGGGGTCGTCGCAGCGCGGCTGCGCGCGGTCAGGCGGCGCCAGCGCGTTCGTGCCACTCGAGCTGCTCGAGGACGAGTCGCACTCGCGCTACGTCAGCGACCACGCGCGCCCGCCGCCCGCCGCCGACGCAGAGGACTCCGAGGTGCGTCCGCAGCCTTAGCACGCGTTCGTGCCGCTCGAGCTGCTCGAGGACGAGTCGCACTCGCGCTACGTCAGCGACCACGCGCGCCCGCCGCCCGCCGCCGACGCAGAGGACTCCGAGGTGCGTCCGCAGCCTTAGCACGCGTTCGTGCCGCTCGAGCTGCTCGAGGACGAGTCGCACTCGCGCTACGTCAGCGACCACGCGCGCCCGCCGCCCGCCGCCGACGCAGAGGACTCCGAGGTGCGTCCGCAGCCTTAGCACGCGTTCGTGCCGCTCGAGCTGCTCGAGGACGAGTCGCACTCGCGCTACGTCAGCGACCACGCGCGCCCGCCGCCCGCCGCCGACGCAGAGGACTCCGAGGTGCGTCCGCAGCCTTAGCACGCGTTCGTGCCGCTCGAGCTGCTCGAGGACGAGTCGCACTCGCGCTACGTCAGCGACCACGCGCGCCCGCCGCCCGCCGCCGACGCAGAGGACTCCGAGGTGCGTCCGCAGCCTTAGCACGCGTTCGTGCCGCTCGAGCTGCTCGAGGACGAGTCGCACTCGCGCTACGTCAGCGACCACGCGCGCCCGCCGCCCGCCGCCGACGCAGAGGACTCCGAGGTGCGTCCGCAGCCTTAGCACGCGTTCGTGCCGCTCGAGCTGCTCGAGGACGAGTCGCACTCGCGCTACGTCAGCGACCACGCGCGCCCGCCGCCCGCCGCCGACGCAGAGGACTCCGAGGTGCGTCCGCAGCCTTAGCACGCGTTCGTGCCGCTCGAGCTGCTCGAGGACGAGTCGCACTCGCGCTACGTCAGCGACCACGCGCGCCCGCCGCCCGCCGCCGACGCAGAGGACTCCGAGGTGCGTCCGCAGCCTTAGCACGCGTTCGTGCCGCTCGAGCTGCTCGAGGACGAGTCGCACTCGCGCTACGTCAGCGACCACGCGCGCCCGCCGCCCGCCGCCGACGCAGAGGACTCCGAGGTGCGTCCGCAGCCTTAGCACGCGTTCGTGCCGCTCGAGCTGCTCGAGGACGAGTCGCACTCGCGCTACGTCAGCGACCACGCGCGCCCGCCGCCCGCCGCCGACGCAGAGGACTCCGAGGTGCGTCCGCAGCCTTAGCACGCGTTCGTGCCGCTCGAGCTGCTCGAGGACGAGTCGCACTCGCGCTACGTCAGCGACCACGCGCGCCCGCCGCCCGCCGCCGACGCAGAGGACTCCGAGGTGCGTCCGCAGCCTTAGCACGCGTTCGTGCCGCTCGAGCTGCTCGAGGACGAGTCGCACTCGCGCTACGTCAGCGACCACGCGCGCCCGCCGCCCGCCGCCGACGCAGAGGACTCCGAGGTGCGTCCGCAGCCTTAGCACGCGTTCGTGCCGCTCGAGCTGCTCGAGGACGAGTCGCACTCGCGCTACGTCAGCGACCACGCGCGCCCGCCGCCCGCCGCCGACGCAGAGGACTCCGAGGTGCGTCCGCAGCCTTAGCACGCGTTCACTTGCACCTGCCTACAGTACTTGCTTCCGTATTTTTAGTACGCAGGCAATTCGGCGACCAGCAGGATTAACCAATTTGGCTTTATACAAAAGTATAAATTATGATAAAAAACAAACAATAAGATTATATACTTTGAAAGTTACTACTTATTTAATAACCAAAAACGTATGTCATGAGAGCAATTGATGAATTTCGAAATATTTTTGTTAGAGATTTTGAATGGTCCGCTCTACGTAGAGACCAAATAAATGAAAGCGAACTCTTAACATATGTGAAAGTATTATTTAACAATCTAACAATAGGATTACAAAGAAAGCTGTAATATGAGCTTTTTCATTGCTCCTGTTAAACTATATAACTAACTATATTTAAAGGTCGACAATGCATCTGCAATTCCTCTGGTTCCCCTGGTGTTGCAGTTGTTCATAGGTGGCGGTAGTCACTTACCATCAGGTGAGCCGCATGCTCGTTTGTATATAAAAAATATAAAAAAAAATTATGAATGTGTAACGTGAATCTCAAAATAATGTCTGCAAAGGCGCCTTGAGGTACTATCGTTATCCAATTATCCACCTTTCGCTGGCTCAAACTTCCATCAAAATCTCCCAAAAACTTCTCGATGTGACGCATCAACATGTCGTTAAAAAGTTTTTAAATACTTTTCAGTTTATTGAGAAGTCGAATAGGAAAGAGTAAATAAATAAGTGTTGCGTGGTCGCAGCTGGTGCGCGCGGAGTACCGGCGGCCGCGCGACGTGCTGCTGTCGCTGGTGGGCGAGTTCATCGGACGCGCCAGCGCGCGCCTGCTCGAGATCAACGGCTCCAAGGGCAGCGGCAGCGGCGCCAGCGGCGGCAGCGAGGGCAAGCCCGTCGACCTGCTCGACTCCAAGTCGCACGCCGTGAGTCTTTGCACGCATCTGCTGCGCTCCAGTGCCTCTTACACGACAATCTTTTAGCGCTTCATTACGCCTCTTATCATGCTAATACTGACTAATAGGTTATTACTACGCTTTTAACAATCATAGTGCACCAGCGTTCTAAGAAGAAATGCCTCGTTACTAGTAAAAAGTTCACGTTTCGATTTTTTTTTATAGGATAAGGGTGACAAACGAGCACACAGTCCACCTGATGGTAAGTGGTTGCTGCGGCCCATAGACATCTACATCTATCCTCTATTACAAATCAAAACGTAGATGCGTTGTCACCCGCGAGGACTAAGATGGAATGTCTCATTTCCAGTGAAAAGGGCCTCCGGCCACCTGCACTTACCAAGCGAAACGCAGAGGTAAACCTCTACTTCACGCTGGTTTTCTGTGAGGTCGTGGTACCACCCCGGTTCGAGTCGGCCCATCCGTGCGACAGCAAAACCTGCCGCGTGGCTCTACCACTGTTAAAACGATTACGAAATACGATTGTTGTTCATGCTGATATTCTATGGTCCTACCATATTGTTACGAACTTGGGGTTCGATACAATTAAAAACTGCCGAGTGAATTACCAAAATTGACCATTTAATTACAAAACAATAATTGCAACTTAAAATCACACTAATAATAAAACACAATTGTACTACTGTTCACTTTAGTTCGCAATTGTATCGCTTCGAAGTATTCGCTTGTATCGCCATCTCAACACTGACTCCGGTCGCGGTCTATACCGGCCTTATATAGGGTCTCAGATAGTTCTAGAATCTTCTACTGTAGAAACATCTAGAATGTTCGAGTACATACCGGTCCCGATTGATTAGGTCTCGATAATTTTAAAAAGTTCATCCTTCACTTTAAAAAAAAATTAACTAAATTTCTAGAAGAATCTTGACTTTCCTAGTTCTGCCACTCGATACTAGAGGGTGCTAGTGGTAACTGGTGTTGCCAGTTACCGGGCATTAATGGTGGCGCTCAACAATATTTTTATGTGATCTATGGTAATTTTAAGCATCTCTTAAAAAATGCATGCCAGCTGGCCTAATGTTGACAAAAAATGGAAACCATGTCAGTGTATCGGTAACAAATACTAATCGTATTGTTGTATTGCAATAAACCAATAGTAATATCTAACACAAAAATTTAATGTTTTACCTCACACATCCTCCATAGGCGATTATCAGCAATTAATAAATTAGTAAATTAATTAAATTTTTGTTTGATGACAAAATACAGATTTTATTTCCTTTTTAATCTTTAATTTGTCCTTAAATTTTTCAGCGTCTTGCAGAAATAGCACACTCCTTGCTTAAAGTATCTCCATACGACCCCGAGTCGATGGGCTGCCGTGGTCTACAGCGTTATATGACACTGGTATTGCCCGCTGGAGAATGGGCGGAAATGGATTTACGACCTTCACTTATAATGATACTGCGGCGTCTCGATAAAGTATTCTTGAAAATCGCGAAGAAGCCTAGTATACGGGTAAGATTTATTTGTGTAATATGTGGCAATTTTTTAACCGAAACATTTTGTTACATAAAAGAACAATGGCAGACTTACATACATAAAATTAGTTGAGAAAGTATGGTAGCGTCTATATATCAAAAATATCTTAAACTGTCCCTTCAGTCCCTTAATAACTCTGTCAAAGAATTTTGTCCTGAGAAGGCGTCAAAAAAAAAGGATATTTAGATTTGAACTCTTTTAGATTATGTCTTATGTCACTTGGAAAAATTCATGCGTCGTGTGGTTGGTGGATGTTATATTAATTCATTCTCAACATAATGTACCTACATACATAATCGAGAGTTTTAGATTATTGTATCTCTATTATATATTTGCATACTTTACATGTATATTTTTGGCATGGCTCCAGGGCCTTTGTATCACACAGTGGCATTCTCAGAAGGGCTAGAACCCAGAGCCGTAAAACCAGTAAAAAAAACAGTGACATTTTGTTTTCCCTAACATGAAATGGAATTGTTACATAGTACTATGATTGAGATAATGTATTATTGGAGGAAGTTCTTTATAAGAGACCTATTTTCAACCATATCACTTTTATTTTTATTATTATTGATAGTATTCTTATTACTAATAATAACTTAATATAAAATATTTTGTATTTGTGTCTTGTGTTGGTAGTCTTACACTTTGTATACGAAAATAGTATGAATATAGTAAATGGCAACACTTGAATAGAGTAAAATGATTTAAGTCATTTGACATTCCCAAAAATGTTTGTTTTTTCTGTGGCTTTAATTAAAATACATTTTTATTTGAAAAATCATAGAAAAATAATAAAACGCAATAATTTTTGTAAACTATTTTTCTGCCATTGTTCTTTATTCATGCATACGTGTACGAAATAAGGTTATTTTCATATTCATTATATATATTGAGCAAGGGAAGCGACAGTAAAAAACGCTAAGCCGGCCTAGAAATACTGCTATATTATCATCTTTGTAAAAAAAAGGATTATAATAGTATGAAGTAGCTTAGTAACAAAAACGCAAGTAGCATATTATACTACTTGCGTTTTTGTTACTAAATGTAACTATTTATTAAAAATATACAAACAACAGAACATACCCAATTTACATCAATATTTTATAATCAATTACTCAATCGTTTTTTTTTAGAGAAATACTGACTGGGATTCAGCAGCAGTGCTCCTAAAAGGCGTCTACGAAACGATGATTAGGTGCCCTTACATTATGCACTGGCAGCAAGTGAAGACACTTCTCAATACTGTACAAGTATGTTTGCCTAGCATCATAAGAAGAGATCGTGTTATTTGCACGCGCCTGCCCTGTGTTTTTTGGTGGATTTTGTCACATTTGCCGTATTGGATATCATAAAATCTGAATCAGCGCGCCCTTTCCATTAGTGTTTTAGCAGATCGTAGCTTTTTGAATATATTATACTAATTAAAAGTGATATAATGTACTGAAATTACAAGAAAGGGGCGTGCTTGAAAATTCTCTTCTAAAAGTATATTAAACTGCATTGTTAGTTTTTTGTGTTTACTTACAAAGTAGTTTAACTTAACTAATATTATTTTGCTAAAGACTTAGTTTGTGGTAACCCTTGCATAAACCAATTATATATTTGTACATAGTCAGATGTTCAGATAAAATAAAAATTGTATGAAAAACAGCAAGGATTACGAGCGTTGACTTTTCTTAAAGAGTGCTGGCTTCACTTATATAAACGCTGATCGCTTAAACCAAATTGTTTCATTGTTATTTAAATTATTTGTGATCGTTGCGAGCTCTGTACAAGTTTACAGGGGCTTTGGTGCTTTGGTTTTTAAAGCCAATTACTATGATTGCAGGCATTTGCTTTTTTTATTCTTATTTTACTTAACCCATTATGACCTGAATTATTTTATGCGCTTAGAAGTGGTTAATAATAATTTGATATGTTGTTATTAAAGGTCCCTTAAGTTATTTTTGACCATTAAAAGTTGAAGTGATTTATCAGTTTTGATAAAACAATGGGTGCCGTACGGCACCGCTTGGCTCATTCGTAGGCTTTACATCCTTCTATTGGGTATGTATTATTAACTTATCATTAGCTAACAAATTTTACCGTCTATTGATAAAGTTATGTAGATTTAAAGTAATGCAGGAGCGAATAAATAAAATAGAGTATTTATTTTATCAAATAGTGTAATATTAATACCGCAAGTTTTGTAGCTAACATACGAACGTGAAAAATAATAAAATAAAGAATATTTTAGCGGTTGATCACAAAATAAATAAATTACAACAAACTTACGTGAAAGGTAAATATATTTTTGCCAATAATTTCACAACACTGATTTATTGACGGTCGTACCGCTCTCAACTAGTGCATCAGTTGAAATAAAGTATTACAACTGTTAGCTATCTTGCTCTAGTTTCACATCGACACCTGGCTTCAATGCTTGAGGCGTGCGTATGGCGCGAAAATATGTAGAGGGGGTTTTAGTGCAAGGAAGTGTCCGCCGCACTGCCCCAATGCGTGTTGGCGGAGTTTACACGCCTTCGAAATATTTTAATTTATTTCTTAGTAGACATGTGTCAATCGTGAATGATTCGTTCATTTCACCCGGATCTCATCAAAGTATTGATAATAGCAATTACATTTTTTAAACTTTCCGGATCAAACAATTGACAGGACCTACGACCAAAGAGTATATGTAATGTCAGATGACTGACATTATCGAGCACGTCTCACAGATCACCGCCTGAACGGGTTCCCATCTTGTCGTGGAGGGGGCTTAGTAGCCGTGGCTTGTTTTTTCTATAGAATAAGGGTGACAAACAAGCACACAAATACATTGTCACCCCTGAGGAGTAAGATGGAATGCCTCGTTTCCAATAAAAACGGTCTCCGGTTCTCTACACTCACCATACAAAACACAGCAGCGTTGAGCTGCTATTTTACGCTGGTATTCTCTGAGAGCGTTGTCCTTCCCCTATGCTATGCTACAGCTATACTACTAATATAGCTGCAGCATAGTTCTACCACGTAAAGACTTGGCTTGGTCACCCGTGGTGAACAAAGAGGAACCTACATGGCTAGCCTTTTTTTACATGGGGAAATGCCTCCGCATACCCACCTCGTGGGGGCAAGGACGGGTTATATCGGACTCTCACCGACTGAAACCCCATGGTGTTCCATCTTCGCAGCATACCCTCTCCCCCCCCCCCCCCGGCCCGATAAGCGTAGGCCATGGGGCCAGGAAAATCGAGTACTCTGTAGCACTCGCTTTCCCGACTCTAGCGGCGTCGGCAAAGCGAGCGGTCTGGTCTTTGGCTCCACCTCCAACCAAGTTTCAGACGCGGAGGGTAGGGATAGCGGCGCCTCGCAATACCGACACCTCTCTCCCCGCAACCCCACCACCAGCGCATCAACGGTACGGCCCCGTTAGAGTCACGGAGGATAGGTCTAGTGGCAAATCGCCATACCAACACTTCTTTCCCGGCGACTCCGCCTCGGGTGCTCTCTCCCCCTACCGCTGCAGCCCACCGACCCACATCCGAAGTGGGCTCGCCAAGCCACGGGCCAGCCAAGGGGTTCCTCTTTGTTCACCACGGGTGACCAAGCTACGGCTACTAAGCCAACCCGCCGGAGGGGGGGGGGGTATATATAGACTTTGATCTTCAAAGTAATGCACTTGCAGGCGTTGATAGTGTCGGACAACAACTCGGGCGAGAACCTATCGTCGGCGACGGCGGCGCTGATGTCGCAGCCGCCGCCGCCGCACTTCTGCAGCACCGTCGTGCGCCTTATCGCCTTGCAGGTCATCAACACTGGCGTGAGTATAAACATATACACACGTACCGCTGCACAACACTACTCACACACTTACAACTACACTACATAGAGGGGTGGGAGTGGGGGCTAGCCATAGTTGTTTATCGTGGCTGTCGGGAAGATAAGGAAGAAGTACGGGGGGATCAGGAAAATCCTGCTACTCATCTTCTGTTTCAGTTTTACTCTGTCGCCTCTTACTACACCCACGGGATGATATGAGGTAGTGGATATTTTTACGCACAGTTTTATTTTTTTACAAGAAATTTTACGACTACTCATTTCTCCAATTTCGTAAAATATTATATAACAATAAATTCCGATTGTTGATTTTCACGGTTCAATTATACGGGATGGTATGATGCTAATCCCTGAAATCATTTGATAACTACCTACTTCTTTACCTTTAACTGAATGTCAATAAACTAATGACCCATCGGACAAACTTTGATGTGATTGGAAGTACTCTAGGCTCAAAATTTTCTAGCGTATTGGGTATGTGAAACCTTTTACCGAATAAACCTGTTAGAAACGAAAGGTAAAAGGCGAATGTATAAAAAAGAGAAGTATATATGTTATATAAAATAGTTTTATTTTACTAAATTACTTTAATACATAACCATTCACAATCAGAAGTGCTACGTGACGCTATATAATGTCTCATAAATTAAAGAGAATAAAAATATTTTCTTATAATATATATGGGTGTTATTTAAAGGGTTAGCATAGTATTAATGTTTTTGTCAGCAGAGAAATGTAATCTTGCAGCAGAAATAGATAATTAGTTAGCAAAAATTAGTAAAGCTATCGGCAATTTTTGACATTCTGGACAGTTGTAAATTTTTTAGTACAGCATATTAATTACATAAGCTGCAATGTAAGTTGTGTTTATAAAATTTTGATAAGCACTTAGTAGGTAAGCAACTAATAAAAATGTACGCGGCTTTATTCTCTGTCGCATCTTAACCTGCTGTCGATGATATTACTTGATACATATTTCCGTATTTTTACAAATTTAACACTACACCTAAATTTAAATAACTACTGCTGGCCGCACCTAGTTCTTCCCGGCTAGAACTAGGTGTAACCATACTTCGGCTATTAGCCGTTACATATTTTTACAAATTTAACTCTACACCTGAATTTAACCAACTACTGCTGGCCCGCGCCTAGTTCTAGCCGGCTAGAACTAGGTGTAGCCATACTTCGGCTTTTAGCCGTAACATTTTTTAATAATTTAACACTACACCTAAATTTAACCAACTACTGCTGGCCGCACCTAGTTCTTCCCGGCTAGAACTAGGTGTAGCCATACTTCGGCTATTAGCCGTTACATATTTTTACAAATTTAACACTACACCTGAATTTAACCAATTACTGCTGGCCCGCACCTAGTTCTAGCCGGCTAGAACTAGGTGTAGCCATACTTCGGCTTTTAGCCGTAACATTTTTACAAATTTAACACTACACCTGAATTTAACCAACTACTGCTGGCCCGCACCTAGTTCTAGCCGGCTAGAACTAGGTGTAGCCATACTTCGGCTTTTAGCCGTAACATTTTTTAATAATTTAACACTACACCTATATTTAACCAACTACTACTGGCTGCGCCTAGTTCTAGCCGGCTAGAACTAGATGTAGCCATACTTCGGCTTTTAACCGTAACATTTTTTAATAATTTAACACTACACCTAAATTTAACCAACTACTGCTGGCCGCACCTAGTTCTTCCCGGCTAGAACTAGGTGTAGCCATACTTCGGCTATTAACCGTTACATATTTTTACAAATTTAACACAACACCTGAATTTAACCAACTACTGCTGGCCCGCACCTAGTTCTAGCCGACTAGAACTTGGTGCAGCCATACTTCGGCTTTTAGCCGTAACATATTTTTACAAATTTAACAGTATACCTAAATTTAACCAACTACTGCGGCCAACAGTCCCTGCCTTTTATTATTTCTTTGCTAACCAATCTTGAATCTTGCTGGTCAATTAAGTATTTTGCGGATTGACTGTTTATTAGGCAAACTCATATTATTGTAAGCTGTCTATTTATGATTAAATTACTGAACATTATCAAGATTATTTGCGAAACAAGAATAGCCAAATATTTTTTTAATACAGTTGCTCAAAAAGTGGCGTATTGCAGGGACGTATAGCGTTCGGGATGTGGGTTATTAGATACTCGTGCTTTTTCTTTACCTTTTCCGAACTCGTGCGTTCTCCAGTGGCGTAGCTACGTAACCAAGGTCCCCGGGGCAAAAATAAAATTGGGGCCCCATTTAAACTAAACTAAATGCTTTAAAGGTGCAAAACTACTTCATCTTTAATTCTTTATCGCCCACTGCAGGGCATAATAAAGCAAAGCTACTAACTACTAAGTATTATGTGAAACGCATAATCAATGACGAAATAGAGTTAATAATATAGACAGACAACGTAACAGTGGAAGAGCCACACGACAGCTTTAGCTGTCGCACGGATGGGCCAGACTAGACGGAGTGACGACCTGGTAAGATATGAAATGAAGAGCTGTAATGAATGAATGCAATTAATGGGTGGACCGGCTCGAACCGAGGAGGTACTCGACTCTACAGATAACCAGCGTGAAGTATTTACTACGCGTGGTAAGTGCAGGTGGTCGGAGGCCTAAGCCCTCTCCTCCTTAACATGGAAGTGTAATTAAATAAAAAACCATCCCAGGGGTACCAGCACTGCACAACGGCACAACACAGAGAATCCCTGGCTGATCATTCACGTCCAAGCTACCCTACTCTTCCTTAGCGCGGGTGCTCAGGCTGCATCGCGTATCCTGAGGAGGGGGGGGGCTAAATTTCGCTCAAGACTAATACTGCTCGTGGCAAGTGGAGCAATAAGACAAAGGTGACCCCTGCCACGCTATCCGTGAATTTCTGCAATATTAGGCATTTCATTCGAACGTTAACGAAGTCCACTAGGTATCATCTGAAGACGGCGAAGCCGACCTTGCTCTTTCTAACCGAGACGCAGGTGTCCTCTCCGCTCGATACATCTCTCCTAACCGGTGTACCTCTACATCTGTTCTCGACGCCTGGGCAGTCTTGAAGGTCAGCTATGACCACCCGAGCGTCTACGGGTGCCTCTATAGATAATGCCGACACAGACCAACTCATCGATGACGTCCTAATCGCTGCAGCAACGTGCTGCAACAGGTCCCATCTGCAAAGATCATGATCCTTGGTGATTTTAACGGCCACCACGCTGAATGGCTTGGTTCTCGTTTTACCGATCATGCGGGAAGATCTGTTTATGACTTTGTTATGGTCCGACAAAAATTGTTACTTCGCCTACGCGGATTCTAGATGTGGAGGCTCGTGCACCTTCCCTGTTGGACCTTCTGCTGATCTCTCATCTAGACGGATATCAGGACTCTGTCGACGGCCCTCTTGGCTCATTGGACCATTGCCTGATCCGGACTATAGTGCCACTACAGTCCCATCGTGGTTGCGTCCTGCAGATTGCCACTGTATTTGGCACTATAGAACGGTCGATTAGGACAGGATGCGGTCTTTTTTTGCATCCTTCACTTGAGGACAGGGGCGGGTATGTTTCTCGCCAGACGATCGCAACGTGATTCTCTCGATGATGTGGTACTTCAGGGAATGGAACTCTTTATTCTATCATCTGTGGTGCCTGGTTCGACCACTCCTGTAAAATTGCATCGCATTATAATAGGAGTGCTTCACCATCACTGTTAAAAAGAAGTATAATTTCGCCTTCAGGTCGGTACGATACAGTTTACACAGTGCTCGGTGCGCATAGCACTACTCTCTCTAGATGTCAAGTCAAGTGGGCCTGAGGGAGTTCCTCCCATTGTGCTGAATAGGTGTGCTCCCTAGTTGGCACCGGTCGTGACGTGTCTTTTCTAAAACTTTCTCCCTAGACGTAGTCTCGAACTCAAAGAAGACAGCTTTAGTGCACCGGATCCCAAAAAAATAACCGAAAATCGACCGCTCAGACCCGTCCAACTTGTTCTTCAAAATAATGAAAAGCATTGTGAACTGCCAGCTCATGAGGTTGAGGATCATCTACTGAAAAGTTACCGCCACTACGATTTCCGTCGGGGTTGCTCAGCTGGTGATCTTCTGGGTTACCTGACTCATAAATCGGCGGAGGCAGAGAGGGAGACCCTAGCCGTTAGGTTTGGACATAGCGAAGGCCTTCGATTGGGGTTTACACAAAGCGCTTCTTTCGAAGCTCCCATCCTATGCGCTTCCCGAGAATTTTTGCGACTGAATCCGTAGTTTTCTTGCAGATTGGAGCAAAAAAGTCGTAGTAGAAGATATGCATCATGCTCTCTTTATAAGCCTATTTGTGCTGGTGTTCCACAAAGCTACGTGCTATCACCTTCGCTGTTTCTTCTGCTTATCAATAATATGTTGCAAATCAGTAACATGCACTGGTGATGCTTTATACACCGGCTGTGCCTATATTTCTCGGCAAAACGTCGCCGAGTACCGGAACAAACTTGTGTCTGAAGTCGAGTCTTTGCCGGATAAGGTCTCGGATTGGGGCGACTAAATCTAATTAAGTTCAATGCTCAGAAGACACAAGTATACGCGTTTACCACAAAAAAGAACCTCTTTGTAGTAACTCCTCAATTTCAGGGCAATACCCTTGTTATCTCAGCCAGTATCGGAATTTTTGTCGTTGACATATCGAATAACAGCTTTTAAAAAGTTACTTCGCAAACATCCGCTTTATAAAATAAAATGATGTGTCTTACCTAGTATGAAGAGCACCTCCCGCCCTCCCTCCATTGCATGCACTATCCCTGTCACCACTAATCCCAGCACCACTACTCCCAACACCACTACACTAGGAAAGATACACCACTGATGACAATACGACACGTGTTTCGTCTCTACACGATGCATCCTCAGGTGATGTAGACTCTACGCTGGCTGACCGTTAAGTGAGCGGTGAGCCAAAACAACTGCCTTTTATACAGACCGCTGACG